CCTCTCATACAAAAACAGAGCAAACAATTAAGTTTAACTTTTAAGCCAACTGCTGAAACACTCACGCTCGGGGCCGTGGTGGCTCCTTTCCTGCGGTCAGGAATGTCAGCCTTGTTGGGGTTGTTGGCGTTGCCCAGCAGAGGGCTGGAGGGTGGTGCCCCGCGGGTTCCTGGGATGCTCGGTTTACGGAGCTGGACTCCACCTTCCTCTTTCACGCTGTTCTCAGCAGTAGTTGTCTGACTCCTCTTTGGATGAGCCATCCCTGGAGGGAGGTTCTGACCAACTATAGAGAGAGAAAGTATAATTATCAGAGTAACGTTTGCGGGATGACTCAAGAATACGTCTACCTCTGTCAGAAAATACAATTTTTAAAGAAGTTCTACCTAACCTACATTTTGAAAAAAAAAAAGAAAAATGACCCAGACTTAGTCAAACATAATTATAGTCACAATTTACAATATAATCATCATCACATTAATGTTTGTTTTTCTTTTAATCCTTGAATCAGGTTTCACCATTTACTAAATGAATAAGGTCGTCTTCTTAAATTCCCAAAATATCAGAAACACAAGGCTGAAAATGCCACAGTAGTTTTTGAAATCACAGTTAACAATGTTTGAATGTTGGGTTTCTGCTGGAGTATAAAAAGGTTCTCAGCGTTGCCACTTAAGCTGCAGACCTCACAGACAGGAAGCATCGCAAACTGAGGTTACTGACAAAGCATTATATCACAGTGGACAACACAGAGCTGTGCAAACAAAGGAAAGGCTAAAGTGCCTCTACCATGTGACAGGTTTCGATTTGGCTTCTTTTATCAGCTGAAAACAAGCAACTGACAGAAAAGTACTTTTATTATTAGAGGTGAAGTACAGCAGAGTTTCAAGTCTGTTCCTTTTCACGTGACATTGAAAAGGAAAGCTAGGACCACGACACTGTGGAAGAAAACAACACAGTGTGCACTGCTCACCTTGCTCGCTGTAACGTCTCTGTTTGTGGTTGGAGGAGACGCTCCTCTGGACTTTGAGGTGGGAGGGCGACTGGCCGTTGAGCTCACTGCTTGGCCTCGGTTTGGCCAGAGACAAGTTGCTGCTGGAGGCCGAGTCGCCGGGCTCCAGCTGAGAGACAAAGGACACATACAGAACATACAAAAACGCTCAGTTTCTACAGTTTTACTACAGTGAATGTGATTTATGAGTCAAGACAGACCAAAAATCTAGGGCACATGATATGCGATCAAAAGAATTTGTGTACAAAGGATCATTTTAAAACTATTATTTCTGATGAGTGAGAAAGCTGTCATTTGAGCTTCAGATGGCGACTTCAGACCCACTTTGTTTCAATTCCTGCACCTTTATTTATATCAGAACCAAGCCCTCATGGACAGTAAGGGGACTTACATGACTGCTTAATTAGCCGTCTGAAAAAAAATGCCCCAAATCTTTGACAACGAACTATTTCACATGATCAAATTTAAAACCATTAGGCTTAACAAACGGAAAAAAGCCCCCAAATGCTTCAAATCAATTATTTTAATGCACTTTAATATGTGGCGAGAGTCTGCAAACAAGGTAGAAGTCTATAAATAGCTGAGTCACACACTGGTTTACGAACCACTGATAGCTGAACGACTGAAGATCTAAGACGTTTGTTATGTTTGTACCTCAGAGGCCTTCCTGCCCAAGAGCAGGTAGGTGGCTGTGATCTCATCATACTTCATCTTGGCCAGAGACTCCTGGATTTCCTCCAAGTTGTAGCCCATCCCGACCATCACGTCTGCACAAGCAAAAATGATCAAAGGCTCAATTTAATAACCACGTTTCACGACACCACTGAAACTAAAAGGGACACTGTAGATTACTGCGATCATTGACAGTTCATTGGGGTCTACATTCACCACAAAGTGTGTGAGAGAGTGCTTACTTTTAGACCCTTTCACAGTGATCTCTGGCGATTACAGCACAAAACCAAAACATGACTATTTCTTTTAAAAAACTTGTTTTAAAGTTATGTGGTTATCAACTTTATGTCAAATCTATGTTATTACACCGACTTCTCTTAATGTGATTTTGCATTCAAGAATTGTGTGTGTTTATTCTGGTGACTGAGCCGTGCAGGTTTATGATCCCGTGATATGCGGTGGCGCTACAGCGGATATCACGGGATCGACTACATTACACTAGAAGTTTGTAATGTAGTCAAGCTAGACACGCAACGTCAGAAGCTTCAGGCAGTGAAGTTCAGCTAATCGACTTCCTGCCTTTCTGGTTCACCTTTGAAGCAAAGCAATGCTGACTGGAAAGGGTTTGGAGTGTGAGGACAACATTTTTTTCTGAAAGTCTAATCCGAAAGTTAAACTCAGACTACTTTTAAATTCCAAATCACAGCTGTAGTTGGGTTCAGAGCAGTCAGGTATGTAATCTGCTGTGTTTCATCAGAATAAATAGGCACCTAACAAGTTTTTAATGAATGTCCACACATCAAAGCTGCGTGAAAAACGAGATAAAGAGTCCCAAAGGAGAGATCATCGTCCATCTGTGATTTGTGGGTATAGTTTGATCTCGTCTTAAGCCAAACTTAAATCTGTTTCTAACCCTTACCTACCCTTTCAATGTTGGTCAAACAGCGAAGACACAAGAGAATTGTCTCCACTCGCAATGTATGAAACTCAAATTTGTCCCCAGGAGACAGATTTACAGAGAAAGACATGCACAGCTTTGACATTAAGCTTCCTCATTGTCCAGGTCACATGTGTGGCAGCACACCAGGTAAAGCTGGGTCGTCTTCCTCACTACAGATCCAACATGATTTGTAAATATATTTGTGCTGTGTGTGTGTACACGCATGTTTTGTTCATTTTAAAAAAGGTACATGAATCTCTGCACACTTACACCGTGTAAGGAGTAAAAAGCAAATACCTACAATTAGGGCTGGGCCATATTATACCGTTCACGGTAATACCGGTATAATGTTAGGCAACAATAGGAAAATGAAATATCGCGATAGAATATGAGTAAAACGCGCATGCGCAGTGCCTTTGTTTTCATACGCACATGGCCGATTGTTGAGTGAAACAGATGAACCAGAATTGGTTTGTAAAAATGGTGCAACTTCAGTGATGTGGAACTGGTTTGGTGTTTGTCCGTCAGATACACGACAAAGCACATTTTTTTGCAGAACATGCAAGCGGCCGTCGTTATTGTCGTATTTGTCGGACTAAGATGCTCTTAAATCTGGGAGTAATCTGGGTCCTAAACTCCGTATGCTTCAGTTCAAACGAACACTGCAGCATCACTGAGCGTTAAAAACTGTCTAAATTCTTTCATCTTTAATAAAACGATCAGCATTGCTGCTTTACCAGGTGTAACTATGAAGTTTAACTTCCAGGCATCCATTAAAACAAAATTTATTACATTTAACAGAGTTAGAAGTTAGCAGGAAGCTAGCGGAAGTTAGCTCGCTAGTTTCGCTAGTTACCTAAGCATGATATTGCATGTTCTGACTGAGAGATTTCTGAAAAAAATCAAACGTACAGCTCTGCTATCACTTCCAACATAAATGAAGACAGAAAACTAAACAGCAGTGACGTTTGTAGGGTTACTGAAGTTGGGCTAGCTGGTATATAATGATGTGCTACGTAATCGCTAGCGACACAGCTATGTTAGCATAACATAAACAGTGAAGCTGGAGGACGAACACTAACACTTTTCCACTTATAAAAGTTAACGTTAAGTTCCTGATAGTTAGAGACAAATGCAATCGCATGGCAGGATGCTGTAAACGGACCAAACTTCAGGAGAACAACTGAGATAATCCATCCACAATACGAGGTTAGTCACAAATATACTGCAACAACATGGGAATAGAGCAGCTGCCAGAGAATTCAACATTAATGAATCAAAGGTACAGAAGTGGAGGAAGCAAGAAGAATGAGTTTAATAAAGTTTGATTTATCTGACTGCTTTGTTTCGCTTAATGTGCCTTATAATCCCGTGCACCTTATGGTCCGAAAAATACGTATTGCACACTGCAGTTTAATTTTGCAAAGCACCTCTTTTTAACTTCAGTGGATATTATACATGGTTATGCTCAGGATATGTCAGCCCATTTCTACTGGAAATGCCTTTTAGTTAAACTTTCAGCAAGGAATTAGCATTTGCACTGTTACATTTTTATAACGCTTTAATGTACATAAAAACCAGCTTCTTATTTAAGTGAAAATAAATGGAAGGTTGTCTTTGTGCGCTAGTAATGTTGTGGAGTTGTATTTTGTCTCGCATCAATTATATCGTCAGTTATATCGTTATCGCAAATTTTCAAATATATATCGTGATAAATACTTTTGGCCATATCGCCCTGCTCTACCTACAATGTAATTCATTAAATTTTAGAGGGGAACACTTGATTTTTCACTGTAGCACTCATTTGTAAAGAAAAGAAAAAAATGCAGCAATGTCGTCTGAAGTAATGGAAATATGACTTTGTTACGCCACCATGCATCACATGAAGGCTTTTTACACGCTGTGCAGTCTATAAATCTTTGAAAACGCTCTTCTATCTGAGACACGTTGGAGAGCTTTTTTATGCAGATTCCATCTTCAGAGATGGAGCGTCTGGTCTCCAAGGAAAGGTGTAGAAATGAGTCACCGGCTTCGCAGTGACCTGTGATGGGCTCTGACTTCCTGCCAGTAACCGTTCTGTCAGTGCAGGCTTTTTGTGTCCGACAGGAGATCGTTTTTTAAAATCACACTCTTTTTAGTGCAGATGATGTGCTGCCGTAGCCAAAAATGTATTTCTCAACCACAAACTCAGCTGCCAGACTTGACAACAAGAGAGGTGTGACCGCTTCATCATCATTTCAGACTCTTTACACGGCATCCTCAGGGGTTTATGAATTGATTTCAAAATGTTACCTATTACTACTAAATCTTTTCATGGCTTCTCTTTCTACTACACTTCTAAAGGCTTAAAATGTATAATTTTCAGCACCACTCGAGGGTTTCTTTGTGCTTTAATGATTTTAGTTTTTGAAACAAAAAGCTCAGCACAATAATTTTAAAATATCTTCGTTCCTTTGTTAATAGCTAAGTATCTACTTCACCTGGGCACGAACACTTTGAGTCTAACACCAGGTTTCATGCGTGGGAAGAGAGAAAGCGAGCGAAAAACGAGCTGCGCCTCTGTAACCAGGCAGAACCACTGATCTGCCATCTTTTCCCGTCCTTCGTTGGATCAAGCTCCTCTTTCTCACTTTCACACTCCTGCGTCCCAACACTTGTGTTTCCCTCTCTGATTCTCGGCTCATTAGATGGTTTATGGCTGCAATCTTTGACAAAATGCTCATAGCTGAAAGAAGAAAGGACATTTTAACACTTATCTGGTAACACTCTACCTAAGAAGAAAAAGGGATTACTTTCTAGGCTTATGTAACATTACTGGCTTTATTCATCTGTTAACGCTACTTTTTTTTAGTTATTCTGACATAGGCTACACAGGTTAGGTCAGTTATGTAAAAGTTCTGTGTGGCTATATTCAGATACACCAGGACCTTTAAAGGAATAAGAGCGCCTTGGTTGCCTCCTGATATTTAGCTATGAGCTGATCACGCTGTCAGTGATAGATTGTGCTTTTCCTTTTTTTCCCTAAATAATTCCCACTGTGAGCTCATTGCTTTTCACAGTTAATCAACACGGTATACTACAAGCACAGAAAATTAATCTAGAGAGGCATGTAATTCTTATGTGATCAGGTTTAAAGCCACATATGCATTCATTCATCTATCTATGCAGCTGGCATTAATCAAAACTAAAAATATCAAGACTCATGTCACTGTGGAAGAATGATGGAGAACGTCCTCCAGGTCTACTACTTCCTTACACGCATCACATAAAATCAGACATTTAAAAACTAAATGGTGAAAAATGTTTATCCAATAGTCCACCCATCCCCTACCCCAATAAATAAATATATCAGTTATGAATTCAATAATGTAACAGGCATTTGAGGATTTTGGGCCTTCGAGGTTGAGGATTTCCTTTAAATTGATCAGCTAATAGTTTCACCTTTAAGCTGGCCTGTTCACAGTGTTTCCTGGTGTTAAGAAAATAAATTCTCTCTCTATTGGCCCTTGTGCTGCTGAAGCCTTTAGATAAATTAGATGTCATCCACACTGAAAATTCGAAGCCTTTTCCAGTGTAAGACAGCATCTGCTCCACAATGCATTGTTTTCATTCAGTAATAATTTTAGGTAAACTTTTGCAGGCATTGTTTAGAATCCAGAGACTAGTCGGCAACTTCAAGACCTCATTCTCGCCCCTCCTCCATCTTTCTTTTTTCCGTTTTCCTGGGTGATTGGGAGTTCGCACCGACACATGTGCACCAACGGCCGACCCCAGCTGCAGTTATGCAAGAGCTTTCATCCAGGGCATGATGGGGAGGCTTCTCTGGTCCTCTTCTCTGCATGCAGCAGCGCTGCTCGAATTTATTTATTCATCGTCACGTTTCATCTTTTTTCCTTTTCAAGCTCTTCAGCACTGAAATAATGAGACTGCCTCTGCACTGTGGAGCCGTAACCCCACTAACGTTCGACATCTCACGTCTTCTCACTACTGACGAAAATTACCGACTGAGCTTTTACAGTAATAATGGAGAAGGAGGGGGTGTGTACTTTTTTCTTTTGATTATAGAACAGTGTATATGACAGGCCTGAAAGTCAGAAAACTGACTTAAAAAGAACTTCAATGATGAAGCAATCCATCCTTCAAAAGGGGAAAACAAACAAGCAAAAAAGCAGTGACGATATTAATAGTAACATCAGCCTTACCTATTCTCTTCTGATCTGTGATGTCCAGCTCTGGTTCAGTGTAAGGTTTGAGCTCGTCATCATCAAATCCTGCATTGATCCATCGATCCTTCATAATTTGCTGTAAAAATAAAGACAGACAATTAGAACAGATGTGGCTACACATACGTAAGAGAAACAAACAAAAAACAAACGCCGACGGCACACATGCATACCACCGAATAAAAAGTGGCATTTTCTTTTTTCCCAGCACAGAAGTTTACAGGGTTTTGTAGGCAAAACAGGCAAACCTGAATAAACTGTGAGAAACTAACAGTTTGAAACGTTTGAGAGTGCTCAATCCTCCAGGTAAGGAAATCCCAAGAAAGGTGATCTATTCATCTGGACACCTTTTCAATGGGAGAAACTGGCGAACAATGGGCTGTGAGGCCACAGTCCATTGTTATTCAGTGGTGCTAGTTTCAGTCATTATGCAAACGTACTGTTTATAAGGTTGGAGAAACCTGCAGTCAGCTGAGACTGAGGAAGTCACTCCCACTGAAACCGCTAAGTAGTTCTATGATACTAGAACTATAACCTTTGTCTCAGCTTTAAAAAAAAAGTGAATCAAATCAACATATATTGGGGGCACCACAGCTCATGAGGTTACACCTTTAGTAGCTCTTAAGGTGCATCTTCAAATATTATCTGGTGTTATCAGAAAAGGCTTAGTCCAACATAACTGGTGTGGACAGATGTTACAGTTTAACAATATTGAAATGAAATTTTAGTTCAAGTCTAAACTTGACGGATTTATATTTCTAACATTTAACATCCACTGTAATAACAGATCAAACAGTAAGTCGAGTGCATGAGGCATTCCACTCAGGTTTGATTACAATTCAGTCCTTTCCCAGAAACACTACACATTGAACTGTGCTCCATCACATTTGCTTGCACCCTTATTTCATTTCGCTAATCAATCAATCAGCTGATCAATTGCTCCCTGGGGTTTTACTGAGGACAGAGCCAAACTAATTATCACGCTCTGCTGTGGCTGCCATAATCCAGGTCAATCGTGTGGCATCAAACGCCAACAGATGTGACCCCGACATTCGAGCCAGCACTATTTATTTTAACTCGCGTACTGTCTGCTCTAAAGAATTCAGCAAAATGCAATCAAGCCATTTCCTTGAAATGAAAGGCGAAAATCAGCTTCGAGATTAAATAGCAAGTTCAGGGCTTACATGCCAAAAATAACTGTGAAAAGAACGATTTTTCTTTGTGTGAATGATTTACTGCGGAGTGTGAACAGCTAAAAGATGATCATTCACACATTGATCTGTGGAACAATTCTCTCTGTCCTCTCTTCCTCTTACATTTAACACTTGGATTATTCCAACCACCGCAGATGTTCTGACGGAAATAAAAAGTCCAGGTATTTCTGCCATTTTCTGTCAATCAACTTTGGAAAACTGATTTATTTTTGTCCAGTAATATTTAACTTAGTATGTGGACTCTGAGGACCTTTTGGTTAAGAGGTCAAAATTTCATTTGGCTCATCAGAGAACATGCTGAAGTATGATCGTACAACACCGCTGTTCGTTATCCTCCTACTTCTGCTGGAACTTTGAAATGTACTACAGACACATTTCTGCTTATACATGAATGTTTTTTTTAACGTGTTTGCATTTACAGTTTTGTAGCTTTTGCTGCTCATCTATTATTTAATACTGTGACAAAAAGCACAAATGTTTCCTTAACAATAACTGGAGGATTTCTTGGATCCCTAATATTTGATCAGACAACATTATATGCTGCTCAAAAGGCCATGCACAATTACAAAAACAATGTAATTAAACTCATTTACAGTCAAACGGGCAATTTCATATTATATTTTGCTAACAGAAGAGTTTTGAACTCCTATTATGTTCACTTTAGAATCATGTGCTGATTAAAAGCCAAAGATATCTCACATGTCATCTATTAACCAGCTAATCCTCACATCCATGATGCTCGATGGATTTTAGGTGTGAGCACATTTCTGGACACCAGATTTACTGATAACAGATGGATTGTTTTCAGCAAAGTTCCTGTTAAGTTAAAGCAAAATGAAATGTACTCGTGAGGACTGTGTGCCGTTTCTACTCAAAGCGAACTGAAGTGTTCGCTAGCACACTGCACGTTTTGATCTTGCTTAAACCGGGAGATAAATAAAATACATTAAAAACGCAGCTGTACTTTCTGCTCATAATGACGCAGACTTAAATAAGCAGGTTATATGCGCCCTCTTGAAAACTGATGTATACTCGAGGCACAAATGAAGGCAGAGAAGTGATCACAGAAGACAATTTTGGCACAAACACAAAAACGTCGATGCATTATTCATGGTTACAACATCATAAGAGGAGGAGTAGAGTGTGGGCCGGGCACACACGCACAAAACAGGACGCCGTCGGCGTCAGAGGAGATGATGCAGTGGGGAGATGCAGGGACTGAGAGGAGGGGTTGAGGATGGATGGCATTCTCCAATGGTGCAGACGTGCTCTGGGAGTGCGTTAAGAACTAAGAGGTATATTTACATTTTCTGCGTCCTCCCTCACCTCGAGAGTACCCCGCTTGGCCGGGTTGAGCACCAGGAAGCGTTTGAGGAGGTTCTCGCAGTCTGTGGACATGTAGAAAGGGATGCGGTACTTCCCTCTGAGCACACGCTCCCGCAGCTCCTGCAGAGAAGGATGAATGGACTGATCTCAGATCATTGCTAGAAGAAATGTAGGGGCTGGTTTGTAGACTGTAACATCGTGCATAAGCTTTACTTTAATCATTTAAGAGAACCTGGAACAGCTTCCACAGGATTTGCACCATATAAACCCATGGTACATGTAAAACTAGACAGTACCAACAGTTATATATAACAGCATTTAAATGACAACTATGATTGTTTTTATTATCGCTTTCTCAGTTGCTCTAATTGGACTGCTAAATGTAAAAACATCTTGTATTGTGTAACCTAGGATCCAATATAATAAGGTAGTCACTTTTTTTATTTATAGAAAATATGGAGAAAGATCATCATCTCTCTCCTTCTGCTATGAGAAAGAAGCTGCAGCATCATGTCATCCACACGCTACCTTAAGATTCTGTCCGTCAAAGGGCAGCGAGCCGCTGACCAGCGTGTACAGTATCACCCCCAGACTCCAAACGTCCACCTCTGGCCCGTCGTACTTCTTTCCCTGGAAAAGCTCCGGTGCTGCGTACGGCGGAGAGCCGCAAAACGTATCCAGCTTGTTGCCCAGAGTGAACTCGTTGCTGAAGCCGAAATCTGCGATCTTGATATTCATGTCTGCGTCGAGGAGCAGGTTCTCAGCCTTTGAACAGACAAACCAGTAACTTTTAGGCAATCTGCTGAGCACTGAACACTGGTCAGTGTTGGAGAGGCAGCCACATGAAGGCCAAAATGTTTAAATAATTATTTCTTCTGTATTGCTGTCATTCAGCAGCATGAAGTTTGTTTTTGATGATATTATTGATAGACTTTATTAGTGATTATTTTTTAGACAAAGCCAAACACGATAAGCACTTTTTCCGCCGTCGCTTGATTAATCATTTTGTCCATAAAGTGTCAAGAAAAGTGCCAAAAATCAAAAATCTGTTCATTTATTTATGAGTCCAAAAATCCAGGATTATAAGGCTTTAAAAAACACATAATTTCTCCTTTGTGAATGAATGAAGATTTCAACCCAGCCATCTGCTCTTTGCTGACATGTAGCTGTAGGCGAAAGACTAATTAGAAAGCTGAGATGAGTACACAGAGGACTCATCCTTCCAGCTGAAACACTGAACTGACATCCTGAGAGGCTTGCAGCTGCATGCAAACAGCACTCATCACAACATGTCTGACCGTCAAAATCTCAGCAGGTGTTGCTGCTGAAGCCACAAAAAGCCCAGAATTCCTCAGAGGCACAAAATGGCCTACAAGCCTGAGGGACAGTGTTTGGTTAAAATGTGGCTTGTATACCTCTTCTACATCGAGTGTGACATTTGGACGCGCGCTGAGCAGCTCCGTGCTGCTCTGTCATCTCCCTACTCATTGATCATTGATGAAGCTTCGCAGAGGAAACACTTTGGATGTGCAGCTGCTGGCAGAGCAGATACACGGGCCTCTCTTCTCTTAGCTACTCCCACTGATGCCGAGATAAAAATACAGAGGCATCAATATTTATAGTTGGAGAACTAAAATGGAGAGCATCACGGCTGTGAAACAGAAGAGGCGGGAGAACATGCAGACAATTTATAGGGCCACCTACTTTTTCTTTTTTTTTTTTAAACACTCCTCCCACCTCTATGGTGCAAAGATTTGTTTCATGGTGGCCATAGTGGCCAAGGACACTGTCGGAAAAGGGAAAAGATGAGCCTGTGTGTGTGTTGGATTCATCTGTGGGAACATGGGAGTTAAGACGGGAATCATAAAACGGGGACTGATGTGACCTTTAATTTATGATGGACAGCAAACTCTTTAAAATCTACTGACCCTAATATAATATGTACATTATATCAGCTTCTTAAATGAAGATTCTGAGGACAGAAAGGGGAGTTCAGATGGGGATCAAGTTCCTCAAATACTTCAAGTTGAAGTAGAAATACATACAATACAAATACCAGCTGGATACAAAAATAACAGTGATCCCTTTTAATCTGAATTAATGACTTTCAACTGAATGATGCATGATGCACACCACAGTGTGACCTATAAAGGCTTTTGGATAAATACTAAAAATTCAAGTTCGATCTTTTTTTTTTTGCTGTGTTTGCATTTTTAACCACTCACCTTGAGGTCTCTGTGAACAATGTGCTTCTGGTGGCAGTACTGCACCGCTGATACAATCTGTGCCGAAAGAAACACAAGTACAGCTTAGTTAAATGTTCTCAGCCTGTGATAAAGGATGTGGTGTAGGAGGAGATGTGGTTGAAACTAACAGGAAAGATACAACTCAGCTAAGGTGGGGCTGACGACACCAGAGCGGTGAGAAAACAGGTTTGTGCAGTAGCTCTGTCGTACATTCGTCTGACTCGTGAGGCACGTACGAGTATTGCTAGTATCAAGGCACAAGGAGTTCCTTTGAGTGACACATTTTAGAGCTTTTAAAATGATCATTTTTGAGTCTTCAGTTCCCTTCATTTTTAAGGCTTCAAGATTTGCACAGAATTTTATTTGTGTTGTCTTGAGAAACCAACACTACAAAACGCAAAATGTTAGTATATCCACCAACTCAGATGCACAGAGTTTATAACTTAAACACTGGCAAAAAAAAAACACCAAACTGAGTTTTTTGCATGTTTTCAAACTGCATCAAGGTTGTGTCACTTTTATGAGCATTATCAAAACAGTTCATAAAGTAGAATGGTAACAGGGTGGGGGGTTACATAAACTTCTTCAACTGAAATTGCAGCTAGATCTGATTATCAAGGGATTGTTTCTCATTACACAATTTAAGATTGTTTTAATCTAAAATCTGATCACACCAGAGGCTGTTTCATTTATGATGCCAGATCACTGTCGTTCACTACTAATTAAACCAATACCAACACGGGCAAAAAGATACAGAGAGTCTGAGTGTTGAACATGAATACATAACAGCCAGGTGTTTTGGACCAGCTTCTTAGCACTTCACACAACAGTCGATGGCTTGTTTGTGACAGTCATGAAGAGGTAAGTGATGGGGAAGCAAGTCGGTTTAGACATCTCATCAGTCTCAACACAACAGAGACGCTTCTGTCCTCCGAGGACACACAGAGGACAGCGTCCTGTCTGAAGCACAGCCAGGAGCAGAGGTGTGAAACCAGAACACTGCAGGGGGAGAAAGCTGGGTACCTGTCTAAATTTAGCTCTGGCCTCTTTTTCCTTCATTCTTCCGTGTGCAACCAGGTAGTCAAACACCTCTCCTGCAAAAGAGCAGAAAGAGAGAAATTGAGGAAAACACTAAAAGTAGAGAATAAGCAGTGAGGAAAACGGATACGAAGAAAGTAGACAAACACAAAGTGAATCGCAGCTTCTAAAAATCTGCAGATAAAAATAACTTATACGCAGCTGGCCTGCACCATTGCCCATGTGCATGGTTCGGGGGCGTTTCTTGACCATATTGAGTTGAGCTCGGCAACGCTTCCTCCACACTGAGCCTCTCCTGGAGGCACAAAGCTGCCGCCGAGCTGAGCTCCACAGCAGCAGACCCTTCCCTCGGCCCACACGCACAACCAAAACGTGACTACACTCCCTCGTGTGTTAATTGAACTCGAGTTGCTGGTGCGTGCATGTGCACGCCCATACTCGGGTGATAGGAAAAAGAGAAAAAAAACAAAAAAAACAAAACAGAAAAAACCTCCCCCACTTCTCTTGAATCCTCAAAACCCTTCCGCTCTCTCGGCGCTGACCTGCAGAGGCGGCCAGAGTGTGCGATTCTGTACTTATAAGCATCAATTCATCAGCGGTCTCTGACTCAACCGCTAAAGACAGAATGAGCGTGCTGAAACTCTGCATGTCAGAGGTAAATGGCATGTTGTATGTTGTACATAAAGATGAGCTCCGGAAACAAAATTGGAAAGTACCAAGAAAATTCACAAAATACATCAATGTTCGCATTAATAAAAACTGCATGGAGAACAAAACTATAATTTTGTTGTCTTAAATGAATTTAAGGCACAAGACTGTAAGGCTTCTTAAATTCTGCCATCACTTTTCTGCACTATCAAATAATCCTGGGGCAACTTATCAAGTCGGACTCAGCCACAGTTACAAAAGACGAATAGAATAAACTTGTCACTTTGTCATTCAGCAAATACAGTTTTACAAATTTACTAATAAATCTAAAAAAAAAGGAGCTAGGATATATACATGTAAGAATCTGAGAAATTATCTGTATACATTATGGAAAAAATGTACAAAATATCAGGACATAATGATATTGCACAGCAATAACAGCATTCCAGGTATGAAATTGCACTGCCCTAAATACACAGTCTCGTGTGCATATATACTGGGGTGGGCAGTTTGGTTAGTTATTACACGCCACCTCTTTGCACCGAGTTTTCTGCTCTTAAACATCACACAGCAACATACTGCCAATGGTAACACTAATATTCTGACACTAAGCAGGTATTCTATCATGATAACATTAGTTAAGCTGCACTTTTTTCAAGCAACCTGACAGGGTCACCTTAAGATCCTGCATGACTTCTGAGAAAAATCAATGACGAACTGAAACAAGTATTAGATTTACGTCACTAAGAGCTAATGCAATTGGCCAGTGATCAGAGTTCCCATCTCAGTGATAATGTGATTTGGTACCCAACAAGCATGTCTTCACAATTTGTCGTCTCTGCTCAGCTCAGCAGTCCAATAATGAACAGCTCAAGCAATCGATGGAAAGATGTGGCATGACATGACATGAAATGAGAATTCAGAAAAAGAAAATTTCCCCCAGCTGAAGACTTCCAAGAGAAAACTCTTTGGTGGAAAGAAGCTGGGGGTCTTACAGCTACATATATCTCAAGTTGGAGGGTAGGCATAGTTTATAGTAGCTGTTGCGTGCTCCCCTTTACTCCTCTTCATTTACTGCAGCACAAAACCCGACAACCAACTGACACCTCTTTCACAAGCTGCCTCAAGCAGACTGGGAGAGAAACCCTCAGCTATCCTGTGACCACGGCACCCACAGGCAAATGTATTTGGATGTCATCAGTGTTCGCAAAAGTATGTATTGAAGGATTGTTTCAAGGCTCTGAGTGACAGTTTGCACGCCCTAAAAGGTAGTATGACTGAGACTTTGATAAAGTAAGGCGTGAGGAACTGTAGCAGCTGACCGTGTGAACAAGACCATAATCCCAAATTCACCTACAGAAACATTTTAATCTCCTTCATTCTTGATAAATCTTGTTCACTAAGGTTTTTTCTCTTGTCTTAGCTGAAGCTAATCTAAGAGCAAGTTAGTCTTAGCTTTTAATGGATGCTTTTCCAACAAAGTCATTTATCCAGTGAACAACTGAAACTAATGTTTACTTTAGTGGAAGACAAAATGTTCAAATCTCAAACATGCAACACTGTAGGAACTTTCAGACATGCAGTGTCCCACAGAGCTGATGGTAGCTGACCAACATGTTTTTCCTGCTCTGACTCGTCTCCTGTGTGTTGAGTGGATTTGTTCATTTTCCGCATGGATTAATACTTATGTCACTATGTTTCAACTTTTGGGGAGTCGCTTTAAACTTTACATTTCTTTTCATATATACTGCATGTGGGATACAAATGTCTCAGAATGTGGCAATAGTTTCATGAGAGCTTTCGTACAAGCATTTTGTAATTTTGGTAATAAGTATAAAAGAATGTGTTTGAATTCTACGTCTAATTAACTTATGTTTAACTTAAATTTGGTAGTTTATAAATTATAGTAAATTTTCTGAGAATAAAATATGTCAATTCCTATCATACAGCACTGCACAAAAGTCTTGAGTCACCGCTCATTTCTATACATTGCGGTAGGAAAATAGGTTCATTGCGTTAATAAAACATGCAAACATATAAAACAGAGTTTGTACAATTCCAATGTGCTCAAAAGCGAATATTTGGTGTGAACACCTTTAATCTTCAGTACAGCTTGAACTCTCTAAGGCAGCTTTCTTATCAAGTAGTGTTCAGGCTTCTTGAAGGACATTCAAAGCTCTACTTTAGATGTTGGCTGCCTTTTTGTTGTGCCACACTTCTTCAAAAATGTTGCTTTTCTGGCTCTGGGGAGGCCAATCCATGAATGATCGTGTCCCACTGTGTGTTTTTCTATCCAGATGTGCTTTTACTGCACTGGCAGAGTTCTTATGATCACTGTCATCCTAAAAAATGAAGCCATTGCCAATTAGATGCTTTCCAGATGGCACTATGTGGTGGATTAAAATCTGACAGTATTTTTTTGAATTCATAATTACATCAATTTTACAAGATCCTTAACACCACTGGCTGAAATGCAGCCCCAAACCATGACACAGCCTCCGCCGTGTTTTATATACATTTCTATGACAAAAAAGGTACAATGCACACCATGCCGAGATATGCCACATTTGTCTGATAGCTCTATTTTATGCTGATCCAACTGTGTTATGATTGTCATTTTTCATAGATTCAGCAAAAGAGTGTTTTGGTGACAGGCTGCTAGTAACAAAGTGCCTGAAAATAAAAGACCAATAGAAAGCTTAGAGAACTATTCCTGAAGACCACCTTTAAAACAAATTACAAAAAAAGTCCTTGGAAGCAAAATATATAGACATGAATGAGGGTTCAAGACTTTTTCACATTACTGTATACTTCGTGCAGAAGTCAGGTTAAAGTTCAGGCTATGGTATAAAACGGTTGTTGAGCTCTTTGTACAAGTAATCTTGTTCCTTTTTTCCCCTTTCAGCTACAAGTGCAGTTTGCAGATTATATGCTGCTCCAAAGATATATTAATTATTAACATGCACATTTATCACATTGGGCATTAATAAATTATTCTCGGGAGCAGCACAGAGAGCAGATTTCTACCAACTACATGTGGTCTTGAGTGCAGCAGCTGTTAGTGGAGTTGCTTTTCAAATTATTTATTTTCATGGGGGTCTAGGAAATTCTTAAAGTTCTTGGCATTATAAAACCATAACATTTGTTTAAAACCAAAATTTATTATGCAATTATATTTACTAAATGGCTGCCTGGGGGTGTAATAGTACATGGTTCATATTTACTTACATTTTGAGGATTCGTTCAAATCTGACCAGTTCGAAGTATAAAATAAATTACAACAACCATAACAAACTCTTAATCAACTTCAAAGAATCCATTAAAACCAGAACTGCAATGTCAGCTTTAACACAGCACAAAGTCACAGGACCTCGCACTTCCTTCGCTATCACAGAGAAACTTTATTGGAATTGCCGGTGGACAAAGTGAGTGGGGGCTCGTTGCTCGTGTTCAGAGTGAGCACCACATGGCGACCAGTCGACTGAGCCGTAGAGTGTGAGCGCAGAACTTGCAAGTTCTGGCATTTCCATTTCACCATGTTGTGAGTTAAAGTGTCGTGCAAAATAAAAACCACACAGCATCTGCCAGCTGTCAAGACAGAACCTCGACTTCAGGCAAATATCATCCAGGAGTTCGAGCACGGCAACATAAAAGGACTTCTGCAGCCAAACTCTTGAACCAAATGTTGCACTTACAGCTACTGCTACAATCCTAATGGTTGTAATTCACAAGTTTGACATGTTGGAGATACTTTGCCAACCACTGTATCTATGTCTCACCTCCACTGGCGTACTCCATTACCAGGTAGAGCGTCCTCTCGGTCTCAATAACTTCAAAAAGCTTGACTGCAGGAGGGAGAGAAAGAGAGAGAGAGTAATTATAAATTCAATTATGTCAAAAGACGAGAGAGATCCAGACAGAGGCAGTAATGAATTCATGCTCATGAACACGGAAAAATTGTTTCCAAACACACACCCCGAGTGAGTCGAAGAAAAAGTGAAGTCACGTGGAACTGTGCGTGTCGTGACCATGTAAGCACATCATAGTTGAGCTGAGCAGCACTCGGTATTTACTGTACAGTCCAAATTCTTTTTTCTTTCTTTTTCCCCTCCCTTCCTTCTTTTACTGCAGTAGCTCACCGATATAAAGGACTGTGACGAGCAGCTGAGAGCTGCACTGCTAAATATAGACGAGGTGGGATGAAAAACAAAGGGAACGCGGGAGGGGAGAGAGAGTTTATGGGCTGGTGATAGCATTTACTATCACTCTGATAATTACTATTATACTTTTGTAGAGGAACTCAAGCAGAGAGGACATGGGGGAAAAACCCCCCCCCAAAACAACAAAAAACCCAAACAAACAGGAAATTCACCTTTCAAGAACAAAATGCACTGTGACAGACTTCTCTAATCTGTTTCATGACAAATAAATTTGTCAGATTTTACTAGTATATACTTATATGGTCATAGTACATATAAGTGCACTTTCATGCCTAGAAACATTACCAGAGTTGAGGGGAATACAAAGAAAGGAGAGGAAGGGAAAAAAAATCCAAAAACTTAAATTTCCCCCCATTAAAAATCATCTGCTACACTGGCAACATCTGTATTTCCTCTAAAACGTACATATAAATAAAGTCATCATCAATAGGACTTTTGGTAAGCTTTATAATACCTGAGGATAAAATATTTTTCTTACATTTTTTTGGAATAATTCATGAAGATAAAATATAATATTAATTATTCATTTCAGCACAAAAGCTTTCCTGTGGCTACACATTCCATATTCAGGCGCTCCACAGCTAAGGTTTGTTTGTAATGTAGGTTCCTTGTTGTTGCTGTGGTTTGGCGTTTGTTGGCATTTTTGGCTCTCGCAGACGACTCAGTGTTTCCAGCGTTCGTTATGGCTCCGAGCAGCATGCGCTCTCGTTTACCGATCATACTCCGATTCCAAAACAAAGCGGGACGAACGGTCCTCCAGTTTCAGCCTCAATTACCGGCAGTTAACAACAGATGAAGGTAGTAAAGTCTGAATGTCATCTGGGACAGCTTCCTGTTTTATAGTTTCTCTTTCACAAGCATTTTATAAAATGCCAAGAATGCAGGCTTTGACCTTGTTACTGAAAATGTTCCTGGTACTTTAGATGGCTTGTTACATGTATGCTACAAATCCATCTGCTCAAATCTCCTGACTTCTTTTATGTTTCAGTTCATGTAGAAGTTAAAAGTTTAACGAGTCATATCTAGTTAGATACTTTATTGATCCTACAAGGGAAATTAAAGCAATGACAAAATGCATAGCAGGAACTTGTTGTTTCATGTCCACCAACAGAAAGGTCCAAAGGTTGAACCTGCATGTCAGTCGTCCTCGTCATTATAAAGCTCATATACTTAAAATTCTTATTTCTAAACAAGATGCACTTACCTATATTGGGATGATTCAAGATCTTCATTATTCTAACTTCTCTGAAGAGCTGAAAATTAGAAAAATTCAGAGTTTAGACTTCAGCATATAGACAGCAAATAGTCTGAGCAACAAACCACATTATTCAACCTCAGAAGATAAAAACCACAATAATAAAAGCTGCTGTATGTCTTTGAGCACTGAGCAGTTTCATGAGGGAGTCAGCATGAAGTCAGACTATCCCAGTGGACTGTGTGAGTTAACCTGTCCCTTTTCTTCATGACAAAACAACTTCAAAGCAAAGAAAACAGAGGCTTCATGTCAAAGTGTTTCAGTGCAAATGCTTTTTTTAAGAAATATTTTTAGATAGCAGGCTACAGACATGCCATGTCATTACACAGGCGCAGGAGATAAACACATTCTGAATAAACTTTGAAAAACATTTGCAATGTTTTTCCTCGGCTGATTGCTTTGGGGAGGCAGGAGGTTTTACATGAACCAATCAAAAGCTTCCATGCAACCTGTCCAACTGCAGTCACAGACTGCCTGTCTTATTTCAGAGAGCATAGCACTTGTTTGGGAGCTTTTGCTACACTTACAGTAGGCTAATGAGTTCTCAACAACACAAGTAAGCCATCTTGTCTTCTGTCTTTACTCAATGTTATGCTTTGTGCAATGCTCCCCCCCCCCGACACACACAGACACAGACACAGACACACACAGACACACGACAACAGCATTAGAGTTAAATCATGACGACAAACTAGTGCAACTACATGATTATTTGGGCATAGGTTTAAGAGATGTGGCTCACTGGTTTTGTTCATATAGTGAGGGGTGAAAAGCTCCGAAAGCCCCCCCCCAAACTATGCATTAACACATTTTTATGAACACATTCTCAAAATGTGTGACCATTCTTAATATATTAAGACTTTTTAAAACTATTATTAACACTGCTTTCCTGAGTGCTAACATGGCATTTCAAGCTCTGGTCTCTACTAAACATCCTCAGCATATTTGTCAAAGAAATGTGGTCATTATGTCGCTGCTGCTGACACAGTGACAGGATTACAGGAAATTCTGCAACATAGTGGTGGTTTCAGAGCCACTGACGGGCAAAGGTAATCTAAACTAAGTTCAACATGTGGTGTCAGATCTCCATCCCTCAGAAAAGGAAGACACTTAGCTGACACGCTTCCTCATTATGCTTCAGAGTGATCAGACAAGGAGATCTTTAGTGGCCAAAAATCCTTTTTAGTGTTTCGCTTTAGGAGGCATAAAGAGCACCACATGGGATTTATTATTGAGCTGCTGTAAACTACACCTCACTTTCTTCTCTTCCATAAAAATATAAAACAAGGTATCAATCTTTCACGAGGCAGGAGAAGTCCCAATGTGCTGGTTAGCTTGCTGACAAACAGATCTTGGACAGCCCGAAAACACAAAAAGTCTTCAATCAAATGAAGAAGTACATGTTTCAGGAAAGATTTATCCACTGCGTTTAGATTTTTTGGCTAAAAAGTGGAAACCTATAAAACATTCATCACATAAAACTGTCATCTTTTCCATAAATGAAGAAATGTTTCAGCAGCACCATAAAGGATCCTTTATAGCATCACTTTTGCTGAAAATTCAGAGAGGCAATTAAACATGAAATATGAACCAGGAAGTCCAGTTTGAAAACTGTAAGGTGGCAAAACATGGTGCACTGTATCAATGACACCTATTGCATAGTTACCCATAGCAGCAGAAATTGTGACTGTAAAAATACATCATTCAGTCATTACAGTTTCTGCCACAGATGATCACTTCTGCATCACAAGTCTAATATTTATCCAGTTGTTGAATAATTGACTATTATTAATCCTCTTAGTTCACAGAAAATGTAAACGCTCCAAGTACGGCTTTGTTAGAACTTCCCCTACAAGATTTCTTGCTTTTCCTTTCATATCTTGGATAATAAGATCTGAAATATTAATAAAGGTTTCTCACAGGTGACTACAGAGTAGGTTCACTAATTATTTACATCTAAAAGGATTCGCTCTCTTTTCTGTCAATTTCAGAAAGAATATATTCTATTATCAACTCTGCATCCCCTATACTTAAAAACAAAAACAAACAAACAAAAACAAACGATTAACAGTAATTTTAAATGTTCAGATCATGTAGAGAATTCCAGCTGTGGGCAGTTGTTGACTTGGATAATAAGTTTCATGTAATTCCTTGCTCAGAGACTGAAGGGACTATTATGAACTCCAGTTAGTGAGGCCTTAAGGAGTTTATTTTTTGAGAAGCCCCCCCAAAAATAAAAAAATAAAAAGACAGAAAAACAAACTGATCCAGGAGTTGTCTGGCCTCTGACAAAGATGACGAGAGGAAGAGGAGCACTGGAGTGAGCTTGAGGTCTCCTCACTGTCATTACACCCTGCTCTGCCCGTCATTATACTCAAAATACTCTCCTGAGCTCTCTGAAAGTACAGGGGAATAAATCTAAGCTGGTTTTCTGTGTGACAGTGGAAACCTCTTCACTGCAGCTCAGAGAGGAACTCTTTCCTTCTTACTGAAGAGAAGCTGCTGCAGCTTTGAACAACCTCATCAGTGACAGAAGCATCTCAATTTATCTTTTCTATCTGTGTAACTTTGTGAAGACTTCGGTACAAACTGTGCTGTCCTATATAGCATATACAAGCCTTCTGAAACTTGGGTGGGTTCTAAACACAACACGCCAACAAGTACATGGGAATACTTTGTCAGGTATGTTACGCAGTAAACAGAATTAGTGGAAAAACTCTGGAGAGACGGGGCTGATTCACCACATAATACAGCTATTAGGTCGAGGACTCAAACCTGCTGGTGATCCAGTCATGCCGCTGCAATAATGCACAGCTGTCCTGATTACGCAATCCATCTTATGATCTATACAAGGAACCTTTAGGCCACATGACACACAATTCGAGGGTGAAGTCACACCTAAAACTAGTTTTTGTCAGACTACATTTTTAGCTGCTGCATTTTTCTGTTTAGATTGAAACAGCCTCAATTAAAACAGATCTGAGGCCTGTAAACAAAATCTCACGGGTGCTACATTAGATCATTTACTGGATGTTTTCTTTATAAACTCTCATCCCACCAGGTTAGACGCTTTGAGCTGAGTCATATCAAATCAGATTACAGCCCCTGCAACTTCAGCTAAGAACGATGGATGTCTGTGCACTTTTTGAGGTAATCGACCCCGGCTGTTTACTTCAGCTAAGAGAAAATATATCCCGACGGCAGTTTTACTTTACTGTGTTTTGTTAAGTTCACCTCCTCAGTGGGCTTATTTTGTCCCTCCAAAGCCCCACCGTTATTGTTCTCATCCGGGCAAACAAATCAACCTGAAGGAATAACACTATGGTTAAAATTAATGGCTACTATCACACCATGTTTATGAGATTCAGAGAAGTCACCAGTGGTAAAAACAAACTTGAACGCTGGCTTCTCCAATTCTCTTTCCTTAGTCTCCATATAAAAGAAGGATGTAACAAACCAGTGGCTTATGTTGCGGTGGCTAAGTGCCATTTTAAAGATTTAAAGTCAGCATTTTGATCATCACCATGTTGGTTCCTGGAGCCACGTGTGACCATATTTGGACATGAGTGTATAGTGTTAGGTTATTATTAAAATGAGCTGTATCTGTAGATGAAGTTTGGATCTACAAAAAATGGTTGATAAGTCTAGCTTCGCCCTTAAAACTACGTTTTAACATGGGAGTCTTTTGGTTCAATTTTGGAGCTACTTTTGAAAAACTTTGTTTTACTTTTTGTTTCCATTTTAAATGGTAAATGGCCTGTATTTGTATAGCGCTTTACTTAGTCCCTATGGACCCCAAAGCGCTTTACACTACATTCAGACATCCACACATTCACACACTGGTGATGGCAAGCTACATTGTAGCCACAGCTGCCCTGGGGCGCACTGACAGGCTGCCGGACACTGGCGCCACCGGGCCCTCTGACCACCACCAGTAGGCAACGGGTGAAGTGTCCTGCCCAAGGACAAGACCGGAACCGGAAACCTTCCGATTACAAGACGAACTGCCAACTCTTGAGCCACGATCGCCCCATTTTAACAGCTCCCAACATCTAAAACTATGTAAACACTTAAGTGACTAAGATAGTTTTCTTGAGGATTGAAAACCTACAAATAAAACAATACTGGGAAAAAACTTTCTTCCCAGTAACTTTTTGAAGGCACTTCTTTCTCTTAAAAATGACATTTCTTATTTTTGATATTATAAGGTTTTGTTGTCAGTGTTTTATGTGAACCAGTTTGATTCATACATTTGGCTCAAATTCTTTAACATCCAACTGATTCTTCTTCAGTGGCAGTAACTAAGTCTTACTGACAGCTCAGGAAAAATTTCATGGAAAAAACGTCATGTTAAAAGCTTTTAATAACAATCCTCCAACCACTAAAGGCAAAAACAAACCTGACACTGGACGTCGTCACAGACTAAGCTTCTTACCAACACTGTTTACATTTAATCAAGACTTCCAAGCATCATACTCCCACCCTGACCCCTGACAAGGATAACAAGACCACCACAGCAGGTTGAATCAGGACAGAAAGACAAGAACAGAGCGGGAAGCTGGAAGCAGTTTGCCAGGAGCCGGTGACAGATGTGAATGTCGACTCATCTCCGCCAAACTATTAAGAACAGAGGCTGAAAATAAACATTTAGGCTTCAGAGACGATACACCCCCTCCACCCCCACCGCTATCAGCCTCTCGCCAAGTCTTTCAGTTACATAAGAGGTCAGGACACAGCGGTGCTGGCTCTGATGCAGGTTGGCTGTTTCACCAGCACCAGCTCAAAGGTAAGACTTGTGCAAAGAAAAATAGAAGAGATCCAGACATTCAAAACCCATCTGAACCGAAAAACGTCATCACATTGACAAACTTGGAGCTGTGCGATGACAGTCGGCTGTTAAAATACTCAAGAGATTCAGCTGGCATTTTTGGATATTTTTCTCATGATCAACAAAGCCAATGAAAAGACCCACCCCCTTTAATCTTCATCCAGGTTGTCTGTGGCTCTGTGCCCATTGGTTACTACTGCAGAAGTAAACACTTAAAAAACACATAACTTTACTCTAATAAGCAAGTCCACGAAAACCATAACAAATGACATTAAATAACACTCATTTTCACAACTAAAATGCATCTCTTTAGCAGTGGATTCGTCTTTGTGGCATTTTGTAATGTCATTGATAACATGCTCTCATATTCAGGAACTTTATTTTTCAGTCTGTGTATTTGATTAAGTTATCGGATGTTAGCAGTTCTTGAAAGAAACTCACTTATGACTCATCTACTGAAAAGAAGGAGCTGCGAAATAAAACTGCTGCGACTACAGCACAGGTGATGAGGATGTAACAGTACTTTTAGATGGATAGTCTTCAGGTTCCTGTCAGATGGACCGAGTCAGTTCTGAGATTAATGATGATGCTCCATTTAAATCATCCTCTGGATTTTCAAAGAAATATCACTGAACTTTTACAGTGGGCAACTCCAGGCCTCAAGGGCCGGTGTCCTGCAGGTTTTAGAGGTGTCCTTCATCAAACACAGCTGATTTAAAAGGCTAAATTACCTCCTCAACATGTCTTGAAGTTCTTCAGAGGCCTGGTAATGAACTAATCATTTGATTCGGGTGTGTTGATCCAGGGTGAGATCTAAAACCTGCAGGACACCGGCCCTTGAGGCCTGGAGTTCGACACCCATGGTGTAGGCAATAATCCAAACAAGTCAGGGTCATGTGCCTTTTCCACCTTTTTCCCAGCGTTGTTCCTTACAACATCGGTATGATTTTTTTGTGTGATATAAAAGTGTTATAGTGAATATCATTACCATAACAATGGCATGTAATTACACTCTCTGCAGTACATGACCAGACAAGCCCAGGCATGTCTGACAGGAAGAGCTGGGCATCAGCCTAGGATGACTTTTAGCTCCTAAAAACGAACTACTTCAGCAACCTCCAACAGAGCACAGTACTTATAATTAAAGTTAACAAATTAGTTGTGTAGTACGACTATACAACAGAGGATATTCTGGCTCTTATGAAAGCCAGATATATTTATTAAAAAACAAAACAAACAAAAAAAACAATAACACCTTGATGACACACACACACTGGCCAGTGACATAAACATGTACTGCGTTTCTTAGTGCTCACCTAGATCCCTGCTCGCTTGCTGCCAAAGAAACAGCCATCTGTTTCTGTAGGTGGTGTTAAGTCTAATGATCCACTAGGTTTTACTGTTTTTGAAGGATTGGTTAAAACAAACAAACAAAAAAATACAATAATTACCTTTTCAAAGCCCTCATCTTATGCAGTTGTGAGCTGGTTTACAAGTGTGGTTACAACACAGTGGCTTAGTTTAGCTTAAGGACCAAAAGGAGAAAACAGTTATCCTTGCAACTACCAGGCCTGCTATGGCTCAATTAAATATATTCTACTTGTCTAATACATTAAAAGAAAAAAAAAAGAAAAAGGTCCTGTTAGCATGGAGCTGGCAGGAACCAGCATCTCCCCCATCCTCATTCTTTATGCTAAGTTATTGTATAAATGGCTGAGCTTCAAGTTTGCCAAAAGAGTTAGGGTTGGGCCAAAAATGACTCCTTTAACAGGAGTGGTCCTCCTTATTATGAATCTTGCTGGATTCATTTCTCACGCAATTACTGCTCCAATTATCTAGGCCAAGTCAGGATTTCCTTTAACTCTAAATCTCAAAATCAACAACAAAAAAAAGAAGGGGGAAAAAACGAGAAAGTTAGCCTATAAATGGCATCAGGTGACAGGAATGAGAACATTTAATGTGTCAGTCATGAAAAGACTTTAAAAAGCCTTTAAATGTGGCTTCTTTTCCCAGCTCGTTCCAATTGCTTAAAATAAACAGTAAAAAAATAAATAAATCTAAATCTCTTGTGGAACAGTAGGAAAAATAACTTGACAAGCACCTAAAAGAGTTTTTATTCTTGAGTGTGACAAAGCAGTAACCTAAAAACAACAAGGATTGCCAACAAAAGCCTCACGCTTTGTGTTTCTGTGAACAGCGCTGTCATGACTCAGTGTTTTTCTGTCAACGTAGTGTCACAGCCAACGCCAAAGGGCCCGGGCCTCTGAGATACAAAGGCCGCAATCAATGGAGCTTTGGAAAAACTGATGGAAAACCACTGGCCGACTGCTGAGAGGGATGAGGGAGAGAGGAGCCGAGCAGCAGGTTCCAGCTCAACATCAACACCCGACATCATAAGCGTCACCACCAGCTGCAGCTGCATTGCTCCGCTTCATCCCCTCTTATCTGTCTAACGATGGGGGAGAAAAAAGAAAAAAAGGGCCTCGGGAGCTGCAGCAGAGTCGATATCGTTCCGACTTCCCCGAAACCACTTCCAGGCCCAGAGACAGAACCAAAACTCACAGCGGCACAGATCAAAACGACCACGCACACACATTTCTACTGCTAACGATTAGAAACAAAAAAGGAAAGGGACAAACACTGCAACGGGCAGCTCACTCTCAACTCGCTGACTTCAAACTGTAAAGTTTGACTGCCATTCACTAAACTGCAAAAAAAGGCATTCACCCTCAGCCTGTGAAATTTGCATTTTAAAAGAAAGCCCACTTCCTGATTTGGTTGATTTAACAAGGAAAACCAAACCGTGGCTCCCAAGTTCCATGACAACCATGCAACATGAACTGGGAAAAGGTAGCGGGAGGAAAAAACAAACAAACAAACAAACAAAAACCAAACTATTTTTGTTTCCAACACATCAGGAAAACCATCTAAAAACCTTCAAACGGGACAAATCTACAGCTATATCTTATAAGCCTGTTAAAACAGTTCCACTAAGAATTCTTCGAGCAAATTCAAAATCAAAGAAAACAAGCCTCAAACCATACAATCCTTTTTAAAGGCCTCAGTCTGAAACATGTATCAGGCAACTTGGAACAAAGTGATCTTTACTGCAGCAAAAGCCTTATACCTAATCATAAAAAGAAGCTCCTAATTCACCCCAGGAAGCTCTATGGAGAACATAGCTCAGTCTCAGAAAGCCCTGCTTCCCATTTACACAATTAATACGCAATCTGTTGTGCTTCATGAATTAGTAAATGAGTTCTGCCACATTATAACAGGAGGAGAAGAGAGAAGAGAGAGAGACAGAGAGAGAGAGAGAAGAGAGAGAGAGAGAGAGAGAGAGAGAGAGAGAGAGAGAGAGAGAGAAGAGAGAGAGAGAGAGAGAGAGAGAGAGAAGAGAGAGAGAAGAGAGAGAGAGAGAGAGAGAGAGAGAGAGAGAGAGAGAGAGAGGTAAATTACCTTCTGAAGGCTGTTTGGGTTCAGCTGTGTCTTGTCTATTATTTTAATTGCCACCTGTAGAGAGGGAAAAAAATAGAAAGTTAGCTAAGTGGCAAATAATAGCAGAGGAGAAGTGTGGCACAGAGGAAGAGGAACATGGCACCGAAAACAAAAACCAAAAACGAGAAAGAAAAGAGCTGAGAAAAGGAACGTGATGCTGATGTTTTTCCAAACTGCCGTTTTAAGACTTGAAAACTAAACAGGGAGGGTTATAAAATAGTTTCAACATCCTCTTTGAGTTAAAAATATGTCTAAATGCACCTGCCAAATTATTATCTACAGAACAGAGAGGACAAAGGCAGCAGAGACGCTTCCTTTCCTTAAATGTCACAGGCTGCATTAAGAAGAAGCTTGCCCTTTCTCCTCATCAATTATGAACAAATCAAATGTTCAGCTGCTACACACTGCACTGAAAACAACCATTACTGCCTACAAGATTTACAGCGATGAATGGGTTGGTGTACAAAGCTGGCAGCACTGTTTTTATGTTCCAATAATATACACATTTATGAAAAATGCATTTCAAGGCTCTAAATTGTAAAAACTAAAGCTAAAAGCAGTATTATAAATCAGGATCAATCTAACTGAAAAACAGGCAAGCAAAATTACAAATCTGACCAGACATTCAGTGTTAGTGCTTGACAGTTTGTGAGACACTGCCACACACAAACACACACACAGGTCACCATCAAAGAGGAACTGAGATACAAATTAGGTGTGAGCTCAGCAAAGACATCCAGCTCCTTAACCGCAGCTATTTTGCAGCGTGAGGGAGAAGCAAACAGTGATAAAAACTTTTTATCTGTAAAGCTTTGTACTGTTTTGGATCCTTTCTTAAAGAGAGAGAACAAAAATAGTCAGCATCACTGTACATCTTACCTCTCTGCCCGTGAGCATGTGTCGGGCCAGTTTGACCTTGGCAAAGTTGCCCTTGCCAATGGTTTTGAGCAGCCGGTAGTTGCCTACGTGGGGCTGCTGCGGTTCCTCGGAGCTGCGGGCCGGACGCACGCCCGTCCGGCCTGAGCGTGTGCTGATCTCCTGACGGCCATTGCTGTGAGAGGTGTGCTGTGGAAAAGGCACAATGTTAGACAAGCCCTGGCTGTTGAATGGCTCTTATGTGTTGCAACATCTACTTGTAATCAATGGTGACTCATGTTGACCTGCTGTGGCACCTCGGCTCAGCAGGAAAAAAACACTACTGATATTTATAGTTCTGATGCACACAAAGAAAGTAAGCTTTTCTTCCAGCGGCCACAGATGGCTGATAAACTCTGTGCTTATCCCAGCAGTTTCAGACTTTCTTCAACCAAACATCCAAAAGTACAGATATTCCCATGAATGTTAATGTTGTTAATGTTGTTGTTAATGTTGTTGTTGTTGTTGTTGTTGTTGTTGTTGTTGTATTAGCTGAACAAGATCCAGCTAAATAATGTTAGTCAAAAATTGTCCCACTAAATACTGTTTATATTGAAGTGACATTAGAACCCATTAATCGCATTTTTCAAAAAAGAAATCAATTTCAACCGTCACTGCAATGTGTAATATTATGGACCATGCACAAAGCCAAATGTGGATAATGCCAGCACCACTAACTGTCTTAAGTCCACATAAGTGCACTGAACAGGTTTATGCATCACCATGTTTGAGTGCTTGCATGCTACGTTATTTCGAAAAGCCTATTTTCATTTTCTGGTTGCAGCAAACCTGCCTTCCCCCACATTTTTCCACTGGTGCATAGCAAACACCACTACTTGCTTTCCTTTTAGATGCTTCTTTAAACCAACTTAATTATTGCATTTTCTCCAAAACTATGAAATATGAACATCATGATCAGTTTTAAATAATGTCAATATGGATAGAATATGTTGAAATCATAATTAGATTCATGTAAAGTTTGTAAATTGTGAGCATGACAAGGCTGTTAGTTATAATTTGGTATTAAGAGATGAACATAACAGTCACTTGGCTTCTTGTTTATGTGGCCAAGAATTTCAGGGCCACTTAATCAAGTCCTTGGACACAGATTTATTTGTTATTGTTTTGGGGAGGGGGGCGAGGGGTAGAAGCTGCTAAACTACCCATTAATTCACTGTTAGAGATATTGTTCCAATGCAGTGCTTTGTCACATGCTTACAGAGTGTCCTTATCAATCAACTAAAACTGAAAAAAGTAGCATATCCTTTGATGGGCATACAACAGTTCCATTAACATAAGGGTCCTTCTCACACTGCTACCACAGCACCAGTGGTAGAAACTACAGAGAGGAATCTGCAAACCAACAACGTCTCCTTGCAACTTCTTTTTAAAACAGTTTAAACAATATGCACACCAATATTTGGCGTTTTCTGCTAACTAGCTGAAGCTAACCCTTGATACCCTGAAAAGTGTTCCTTTTTCTTGCCAATGTTTTCACCTGGTCAAAGTTTCATGTCAGGACTGAGGCTAGCAAAAGAGAGATGTCATGGAAAACACAGCACATGTGGGTGGGGGAAGGCAACAATGGTGGTTTCTACCGCTTAGTCTGGCGATTACATACAGCAATCACAAAGCTCTGCATATGCTCTGAGCGCAATTGATCAACTAGTCATTTAATTCCAGTCGACTTCTTTCTTCATACATTTTCATTCTAATAAATGTTTTGGGTTAACAAGGTGCCATCTCAAACCTGCGAACTGCCACTTTAAAAACAGAAGTGAGGTGATGGAGAAACGTGCACATTTCCTGATTCTGTATGAGCACGCTGAGCTGTCGAGTACAAAGTGGAGAGGGGTTCACAGTGTTAGATAAAAAAAAAAAGTGGTGATAAAACACAATAATGACATTAATTGCACAGAGATGGGACGTTCTCCTTGGTTAGAGGCTACACCATATTACACATGCGGCAGCATCATGATGTGTGCCCTGTAAGCATTAGGATTACAGGGCAAATTGTAAGTGTTCCACAAACAATTTATAGTCTTAATGAAAAAGAAAATTTAAATTATTTTATTCACATTGCTCATTTTAAAGCAGAGCCACTGTATGTATCACAAACAGACAATGTTATGACAGCAATTTAAAAAAATTCTACAGTACTTTTTAAACAAAATAATCTCATCAGAGTCTTGCAGGAATAAGTAATCACAGGCCACTTTATAAGGTACACTTATGAAATCTAAAATAATCTAGCCAAATCGAAATTCTGCTTTTATGAAGCGGTGACTTCCTGTTTTTGTTGAGATTGTCAGATAGATTAAACTTTGTTTTAATTATTCAGGTTGTAGTAGCATGTGGCGGCTAACTGGACTACACTGCACCAAGCTTTTAAGATTTTGCAACAGTAAAACTTTGGATAACCACATTTCTGCTCGGGATACTTCTGGAACGCAGCAAACAAACAGAAAACCTAACACACTCTCCCCCGCATCGTTATCATGTAATCAAAGAGAAACTGCACAGCCTTGTGATTTTGAGGTGGTGTACTCTGACAGCACAGCTGATAGATGGATCAATTCTTGGGTGCTGTGCCCAAAAACTGGAACAACAATCTGGCAGACACTAAGTGTGGCCTCAGTATCGACCACCTTACCAAAGCCTCATTAAGGGTAGTGATGCACTCTGCCCCACCCGGTTCTCCCCATCCCCTACAGTCCCTAACCTGGCTGACCCCATTCACTAAGCAGACAAAAGAAAGAGACACTGATAAAGTGGGAAATTAAACAGACGTGTAGTTGCTGCAAAATTAAGCATTTAAGAAACTGGGCACAGATTGCACCTCATATCAAGGCAAGGTCAGTTAAAACTTAATTAACACTGCAGAGTATTAAAAAGTATCAGAGCAGTTACAACACAGCAACTCTCAATAAGAAACCCATAATTTGGTTATACATGTACAATGACAATAAAGTGCTATTCTATTCTAGTCTATAAGGTCACTTTAACAGCACAGACATACTTTTAAGTCACTACAGGAATATTTTAGGACTTCTACAGCGATAGCAGAGGAGATAAAAATACCATCAACTAGGATAAGGTCACTGTTGGATACCAGAGACAGACTGGGAACAAATGCAGTGGAAACACTCAGATGAAGTTTTCATTATCTTTGAACCACACAGAAAACATCCACCTGTGTTACCATCGTGTTATTTTTCCAGCTAACAACTTGTAAGAATTAAAACAAGAATAACAACAACAAAAAGTCCCTTTTTATTGGTTACTCACAAAGCTGCGGTGTCTCCTGGCTGCCTGGGAGCCAGTCATGTTTCGACAGGAAAGCACTGCGCCCCGCTGACGATGCCCACAGAGATTCCCACAACACCAGATTTTTCCCAACTCAGAGCCCCGATAACCGCAGAGACACAGAGAGGGAGACGGCAGGAGGGGGAAGCCACTGATCCCAGTCAAGCCTGCGACAGGCAGACACACCCAAACCGGAAACCAGACGATAGGCTTTCATAATAAAGGCTTCCTGTCGGCTCCGTTCTCATTGTTGCCAACACGGAGGAAAACGCTAAAAGCCGCCAGTATCGAACTTCGTACAAACCTTTAACGCTTCAAGAGCTGCCCCTAACACTTTATTTGGTACTGCTTAATCTTTTGCCAATCAACGTCAGCGCCTATGAAGATATTAGAAAAATGCCAATCACAGTACCACATAGCACAAATGATATGAGGTGTTTATTTCTCTGTCCACATATACAAATATTAAAAAATTAAGGTCTTAGACCCCCCCCCCAAAGAAAAAAATTATCAGCACTTTACAACAAAAATGTTTTAAAATGCTGATTAATTCCCTTTTAATCCCTGTGACGTGAAATGAGCCCTTGTATTTACTGTTGCCTCTACTGATTTAGTATTTCAATGCCTGCTGGTCAATAATAGATCACCAGAATTCTCTGGCATCTTATCACCCACATGCTTCTCTCGTGCAGTATAACCCTTATCACCATCCCGCTCTATACTGCAACTCAGATGAGTCATAAGAATCTGGTGGTAGTTCTTGCATATTTGTACCATGGAATATGGGGGTAAATGTGTGACAGAGAAAAAGCGTAGGGGAGATAAGTTGCAAAAGACCTCCAGGATACACACAGTCTTCCATAAAAAAAAATCAAATAAAATGAATAAATACAAATAAAAACTTTGCAGCTAAAATATTCAGGACATTAAATTTTGTAGTAAAGATTTGATTTTCAGTGGAACAAGGCTTGAGGTCTATTAAAGAGTGCCTAAAAATTTCCACTATAGTCACTTCCACTTTAAAAAGGAGAGAACTATAGGTATACTATAAAACAAACAAACAAACAAAAACAAAAAACAACAACAAAAAAACAGCCCTTTGGTGATTTCTGTTTATTTAAATGTACTATATAAATAAATTTAAAATTAACAAAAATAGCGGAGAGTCAAATTGACCAATTCTGCATACAGCATGCTCATTTTGCAGATTTTATGATTAAGTACGTTTAAGTTCTCCATTTTAGTTCCATTCTAATTTTGAAAATCCCGACCGGAAGCTCAAATGGCTACATTGTCACTACCTTCACACCGGAGGTTATGTTAGTCACGAGGGGCGGACTCACGAGGCCCTTATTTGGAAGCTGAACGGGTGAAAACTCTGAGTGACAGCTGGGGGAGCCAATAGACAGGCTGAAGACAAACTACTGTTGCCTGCCAGAACCAGCAAGCAAAGTACTGTAGTTTTGTTCACCGTTGGGCCTGAATATTCTTAGTACAGTCTAATTACCTACAGTCATACCGATACTTCTCACACACCAACAAAAAATACACATCAAGGCGCAAATAAAGCCCATTACTAACACTCATTAACAGAGGCGTGTTTGACGTAGAAGATATGCTTGTTTACGATTTACCAACCAAGTGTGAAACAACCATCTATCATCCGGTCTAACAAGGCAGCAAAAAGCTATTGAGGATCTACGTTTTTTTTGGCAATCCCGTGATATTTTTACATGTACTTAAAGAAAACAACCCAAGAAAAAACAGCCCTCTTCTACTTACACTTTCCGTCACCTTCTCGTTGACTGTAGGTAAAGGAGTTTTTGTTGACATCTTTTATTCCTTCTTCCTCAGCCAGTCGCCGTTTTAAGTCCAAAATACACAGTCTTCAGCCCGACAGCCGAAGAATGAAATTATTGCTTTGCTTTTCGGCTTCCTCCGGAGAAACAGTCTCAGCATGGATCGTGACAATTTTCAAACGAGACCGGACGTGTTAGAGTCGAGCACCTGAACAGCTATGGGCAGAAAAAACCCTCACTAAAGAGCATAACAATCCCTCTTACAGCATTTACATGGCGTGTACAAACCGTGCATGGCCTGTGCTAAACTCGGCAGGGAAACGAAATCAGTGTCCGTCTGTCCGTTTAGGTTTGAGTCACTGGAGCTAACTATAATAACGTTAAGGCGCTGTCGGTCGCCACTTCCAAAAATCGCCACAGGCTTTTCTTCCACAAAACCACTCTGTCTAGAACCGTGCCATGGCGTCGAGTGTCACCTCTGGATAATTCTTGGAGTGATTCAAAAGATTCGGGTAGCTGAAATACTCGCCGTCGGCTCGGTTTCTTCCATCTCCGGCGGCCCAAAGTGAAGCGGGTCTGTCTGTTTTAGGTGGGACCAAAATGGCTACTCAGCGGCTGGGCTGGATTATGCTGCCTTCACGGACACCAACTGAGCTCCGACATTAGAAATTATTCTAAAATGTCGGTCAACCGACTTAATAATGGCATTTCTTTGTTCGACTGGGTGATTCAAGAAAGATCAAAGAAAATATTTTTTCTCTTAGGAATAAGATTGAAGCTTTTGTGTGCAATATACACTACTTAACAACCTTAATAAAAAGTAAGAGATTGTCATAGGATTTAGCCTGCAGTTAAATTATTTTTATTAATAAATATTTTGTTGATTATTTTCAGTCTCTCTGCAAAGTTATTATTATTATTTGACCAACATCAAAATGTATTAATTATGCTTATAAAACACAGTGTGTTTTCTAGTACTACAACTCAACTGTAGCAATCAGAAATTGCGTTACAAATACTAGTTGTTGTTGTTTTTTAAACCCCACATTATCTGAATTAAATTAAAACCATAACAGTGTGGGATAAAGTTATATAACAGCTACATTTATAAATGTTTCTGACGTGTTTGTGTGTGTGGTAGTTTAAAAACATTATCAGTTTACATTCTACAAATAGACACATTACATATGGTAGGTGTTACTGCTTAGTTATATTTTTGTAGGTCGGACTGGATGTTTCAAAACTAAACTGCGGAGGGATTTAGGGTTAAATGCCTTTGACAATAAGGAGTTGTTTTTCTAAGCCTTGCTTATTTTCATGTTTGATTCCATACACTAAGACGACGCCAAGTTCCCCGTTTTGGGTTTAATGTCGAATTCAGAGATTTGTTTGTGATGGAATGTGAGTATCTTATTTCCGAAAGCACCTGAAGGCAGCACGACTGTGTCCAGTTGAACGGGTGGAGGAAGTGAGGAAACCGACTGACCTCAGTCCCACAGGACCACAAGTACAGAGAGGCCTGTCATCAGTCGGGAGGAAATGGGAATTTAGTGAGCTTCAAAGGAAAACAGTTGTGCGCCTTTGTCAAATATTAGCGAGACAGAAAAGAATATCAACACCATCCTTTTATTCTTCGAATTCAATTCGAATAAATGAGAGCTTTAAAGGTCGCTAGTATCTTTTTGTGTTTTTTTACACAAAGTCTTATAGGTTTCATACAGGATACAACATTTATAGGTCGTAGATATACCTTTTGGATTTCTAGGCTGTGAATTTCTACACCAGTTTAAGTTTGAGCTAATAAGTTCACCGTTTCCACTGCTGGAAAAGTGCAATATAATAAGTTTGTCCGTGACATGCAGCTCTAAATCAGTAAAACTGAATAAACAGTAAAGCTAAGTGTAATGAAGGAGTTTTCGTTTTACAAAGCATCCGTCTGCAGGTTTTTCAGCCTAGCAACAGTTGTTCTTCCCAGTGTTTTAAGTAAACCAGTCACAAATATAACACCATCACCAATGTCACCTTATTCTAAATTCTATTTCAATGTGAGATGAGGAAGAGTGGTATAAAACAAAGCTCAGTATAACTGGATTAGAAACCACATTAGTTACATTCTGGCTTTTTATCTCAAAAATAGACTAAGTTTCATGTGAAACTGCCATTTGGGTTCCTTACTTTGCAAATTAATTCTCAGTCAGTTTCCAGGTCTCTTTCTGTAACATGAGGCGAACGTGTATGTTTAGATTAGTACGACCAGTGGCGTTACAGATAGTTGATCTAGTGTTGTTTGAACTTTGGTTTCCTATTACAAAACATGGACACATGCACATTTTCCCTCCCTCACAGAGCTGCAGTGCAGACTTTTAAAAACACACCATCATGCTCTGAAGATGAATCTGATCACCTTTTTTTTTTTAATGATTTAACAATTATGTTATTTTATTTATGATATAGAAAACATCTGGCTTCACAGCACAACATTTAAGGGAAGAGGTTTCCCCTCAGATTCTCTGTTAATCACCTACCAGAGAAAAACGGTCCAATCTCACAGATGAAACAGTCAAATGTGCTGGATAGCAAAACATTCATTCTTTATTGACTGGAAAAATACAAGGACCAAAAGAAAAGAAAAAAAAAAAAAAAAAAGTGCAGTCAAAACAAAATTCCCAAATCACCCGTGATTAAAACCCCCAAAAGCAACTCCATTTCATCAACTGAATACACTTCAAAATGACAGCGTTAATGTGCAGCAGATAAAGCGCTATGTTAAATCATGCCACTAAGCGGAGAAGGGATCGCAGAGAGGGCTGGTGGTGGGACAGGTAGTAAAGGAGGGAAAAGGCCAGCCATTTAGCTAGTGCAGGGCATCGTGAGTCAAAGCCGCAAGTCAGGAAAAGCATCATCACTCGAGTCTCTCAGATCGCATCGATGTCAATGTCGTCCTCTTCTTTCTCTGGCGTGTCTGGTTTCACAGTCTCCACTTTGAGCTCGCGGGCAGAGGACGAGTACACCACCTGAGGACAGGAAAACATGCAGCTGCTCAATAAACACCCCCGACTGCATCAGCATCAGTCCTCTCACAACAGAACCAAATCTGTCGCATTTTTAAAATTAGTGCAACTCTAACCTTCATGCTTACTGTCATTTTTAAAAATTGACTTTCAAGCTGCTAACGAGCGAGGTGTCAGTAGACCGGAGTCACCCGGTGGTCAGCTGGTGAAATGGAATATTGGAATTTTATGCAGGTTTCATACTCACTCTCCAAGCATAGTCTACAGGTATTAAAGTGATTTGATTTTCATACTAAATTGCAGTTTTTATATTCGTACGGAGCAAAACAAAAAACAAACAAAAAGCCACTAAAAGTCTGCATCCATTTTAAACTGAGTGACGCAATAGTCACAGGACTGGCCTCTTTGTGCTTCCTCCTTTCGGGGTGCAGCTTCCTTGTTAGAAATGTTATTCCTAATTCTTCCAGGAACTAGTGGGCGGAGCTGACCCAGTTAATGATGCAGCACACCTGAGCAGGCTGACAGATTGGTGTGAGTGCATGCATGCATGCATATACGTATACAAGTAAATGCACTCACTTATATACACACACCTACATCCATAATGCACACTGACTACATGTGGCAGCTGGAAGCAGTTGTGACAATGACGCGATTAATTTTTGCTTTAATCTGGACGTTCTCAGTAACTCCTGAACTGCAGCTGTTTTTTTTTTTGTTTTTTTTTTAACTGTACTTCACGGCACACAGCCAAGTGACCACTTCAGATAACTCTACCTCAACATTCTCATCATCTTCTTCCTCCTCTTCTTCGCTACCCTCGCTCTCCTCCTCTGCCTCCTTCAGCCATTTGACAAAAGGAGCGGCCTTGGCATGGATCTCTTTGGCAAGTTCCTTGGAGACGTACTTCTTAGAAACCTGATGAAGAAAAAGAGAACGGATTTAATGCAATGACTGATTTCAGTGTAAAAGACCTCAAATAAACAAGCCCTTGGGGTTATTTGAACTGCAGTCTTCATGCTGCTGTTGCAGTATTTAGCATCTAACAGTTAGTGTATCCAAAGTAAATAAAATACCGTAACAAAAGTCACAGTTAAGGGAAAGCTAGCTCAAATTTTCAGGATGTAAAGACTTAGCAAAATGTTTAAAAACTCAAGTAATTCTGTATTTATTAATAGCACTTTTTATCGTTATACCTATTCATTCCTCCACTTCTATTGTTTAATATATTTAATTCACACATTTTGAATTGATTACAATTCAGTTTGCTCTCAGCTGTGTCCATTCTTTCCTAAACCAGCTTGATTGCATTTAAAATATGCCACACACACACACACAAAACTTACAACTATTAGGGGCCTCAATAGTGCACCCGAATCTCAGCCCACACACAAAGCCCCTTTAAAAAGACCAGGTCTTACATTTCTTTGTTAATGGCCTTTTTAGGCTTTCTTTGGTGGAACACTGTCTGAAAGGATGTGTTGAGCCCAACACTCTGCTTTTGTTATGCAGTGCAGGTTAGGTGTGTCACTCTCACTCGTGGTGGGAGATGGGGAGTCAATGTATGGTCAGACTGGTGTAACAAAACAGACTAGTTTGGGCTCACTCACTCACACACACACACACACACACACACACGGGAAGTGCGAATTCATTCTTTGTCAAAGGCGGCCCTAGTCCACTGCACTTCCTGCTGTTTGATGTATTAATGTCCTAAAAGCTCTTGACCTCAACTTTTTGGCAGCATTATACTTTCAGCTGTACTGCCCCAATCATGCGTCAGCTGATGTAATTTGTAGCAGTTGTTTGCATTACATTTTTAAGGCTTAATATAGTCGTACTCCTGCAGCTAAGGACCTGGAACCAGACACATTAGAGCTCATGTTGTTTCATTTGCAGAATGAATCTGTTCAAACAGATTCCAACCACCTCTTCCTCACGCTACTCCAATCATCAATATTACCGGGGAGGTTTGATATGATGACTGACACCTCTGCATACTGCAGTCTGTTAGGTGTTTTTAGTGGCTCAGTGCTACAGTTTGAGGTTGGAGGTTTATCCAAGTGTCCCCTGAAGCATTTCAGTCTTTCAGAGTCAGGATATAAGACAAGCTCTAATTTCACCAATTTAACAAATACCAGCTTTCAGTAGAATACAGTTTTGATTGTTATTGTTTGTTACTCTAACGAAGGCTCTGTGCTGCAAAGAATAAGCTTAAATCTAATTTAATTTGCCATTTCCCTTTTAAAGATCTCAGTGAGTGCTCATAACAGATTTATGGGGTAACGATTAACTACCATCTGCTCCCAGATCACCTTTAGGCTTTTAATTTCTGGGCAAAATGGGATCAAGTTCAGCAGGCATTTCTTTTTGTGATTCAGAACACAGAGTTTAATTTGACATTAGTAGTTAAGTCCCTCACCTTCTCTGCCCAGGCGAAAATCACGTCCTCCTCCAGCAGGTCAGCGTCGTACAAGTCTTTGAGGATGATGGGAACACGTGGCAGGAGCTGGACCTGATGCAGCTTCACGACACACTCAAAACCTCCCAGCAGATACTTCTGGGCTTTCTTGTTGTTGTGGCAGAACTAAGGAAAAGGTTAGGAAAGCCATGAGACATGTGAAACACACCTTAATGTGAGGAAGAGGACAAGACAGCACCATAAGGACACGCAGCACAGACTTGAAAATGACTTACACGCAGGAAGTGACGTTTGTACTTCTTGATCTGGTCACGGATGTTTTCGTTGAACAGCAGTTCGCTCAGGATGAGCGGGCCCATGGCCTTCACATCCAGGCGCTCTGCCTCCGCCAAGATCTCTTTATCAGCTGCGTCAATCGTTCCGCTTTCCTTTTTGTTCTGCACATTTAAAGAACAAATGGTTATAGGGGAGAAACTAAAGTATCTCCAAGTCTTGTGTGTGCAAATAAAATCTATGCGTAAAGGCCAAGCACTGAACACCGGTTCTTCATTTTTAAAGTGTACTTTTGATGTTTCACAAACTCCTGCCGAGAAAAATTCAGGACAATCGGGGGACCCTTACTTTCACAAAGCTGTAGAAGAGGTTGACCCTATCCTCCAGGGGTTTCTCCAGGTCCTCGCTGAGCGTCAGGTTCTTGGCGTGATCGCTGATCTCCTCCATTCGCCGCCTCTGTGCCTCCTCTGTAGTCTCCTCTGCCCAGTCTTCATCATCGTCATCTCGATCCTAAACAGGAAACCACAGAGGATTCAGGCAAAGCGAGATGGTGCAGAAACACTCGGGCTTGCTTGGATTTTGCATCTTAGTGGGTCATATTATGGTGAAATGCAAAAGAGGGCTGTGCAGCCAATAATAGTAATAATAATAATAAAAAAAGAAAATTCAATTCAACCAGAACCCGCCCCCCCCCCCAAAAAAAATTGCATTAAAAAAAAGAAATTGCTGATGTAAACTCAGTCTAAAGAGAAACTCTTTCATTTGAACTGGAGGAAGTGGTTCCGGTTGAGAGCTTCGAGGACACGTATACTGCAAACGTGGAAGTTGCTAGACTCCCTTTTTATGCAAATGCAAACTCTTTTTGGAGGTCTTTGGGTGACGGCCCCACCCTTTCAGTGGAAAATCCATTACAAAGAACGTTTCACAACACATGTGTCAGTGTGGACCTTAATCATTATTACCATTCCTGTGAAGGGGGAAATGTGGGATACATATCATGAATTGTGAATACTAAGGAGTTTGAACAGTTCTACAACACTGATGCTTCACTAGGAAATCTGCACCACAAATCACTACCAAGCATCTAACCTGAGCAAACTGTCAACTCTGAGCTTCTTATTTTGACGGAGTTGGTTGCTGAGAACTTTTCAGAGTAAGGGTCATCGGGGAAAAGTTACAATTTACACCAAAATAAAAACAGCATACGAGCACGAGAAGACCCTTGAGTCTCTACTCAAAAGCCACTAGACTGTGTGGCATTAGTGTCTAAAATAAAAGCTGGCACTTTGCTGACTACTACTGACTTCAATGGTGTCTGAGAAAACCGTGTGTGAAGTGAAGAGAAACGTTTTGTGCTAGTGTCCCGTGGCTGTAGAAGCCCAGCGGGTGTCTGGGAGCACAGCAGACGCACCACAGCCTCGGGAGCATCAAAGTTGTCATGGTTTCCAGCCTCGCCACTGCCAGAGCCGTTCTCCTTGTCCTTCTTGCGGTTCTTCTTCTCCTTCTCTTTCTTCACAGATGCAGATCCACTATCATTGCTCTCTGTGTTAGGAAAGACAAAAATCTTCATTAGCAAGTCTATCTTAGGGTATTGGCTGCAGTTCCCTTTTCTGGATTCACCACAGAGAAAAAAAGTCTCACCAGGTGGGTTTTTGAGGATGAATGTGCAGAGTTTGTGTCTGGTGTCTAGCATGCCACGGTATCCACAGGCCTTACAGGAAGTACCAATAGTTTGTTTCTTGGGATTGACATGCTGCAAGGACAAAAAAATAAATTATTTTGTATCTAAAAAACTGCCACACAATCTAGTACTCCTCTTTACACAGGCAACTTTTCTTATACTGAATCTAAAGTGGGAAGTCTCTTTATTTAGTAATTTAATATTTATTTATTAACCACGTGATTTTCATAGTCACAAGGCGCTGTAAACACAAAGGAAATAAATGAAAAAAATTTCGGGTCATAATAGCCAATAAAAGGGGACACATTATCATCATTAAGTCATATAGTTGTATTAAATTATTACTTTGTTCTTTCCCTTTCTGTCGCCCACCCACAAAAAAACAAAACGAAAAAATACTCTGCACCTGCCCCGGAGATGCTGTGAAATATTTACCAGATCAGTTTCAGGGTTGTCACACTCGGCACACAGCACAAATTTTCTGATGAACCCATCAAGCATGTCCTGCAACTTGTTCGCCTCGTGGGATCCGTTGACGATGTAACGATCGTTTTTGGTATCAAACTGGGTCTGAGCGCCGAGTTCACAACCAAAAAACTTGGTCGGGTCTGCGGAGGAGAGGAAATGCAGCACATGAGGCCACCATGACCCAGCAAAAAACAAAAAAACAAAAAAAAAAACGAGGAGACTTTGCCCTGGTAATTATTGATTTTGAAGAACGTTACTGTTTTTTTTATCTTTAAAGGAAGATGTTAAACATTAGGTGTTTGTTTGCTTTTAAACTGGTAATGAACATGACAGACATTTAAGCTTGATCATCAAATACTCCAACTACAAAATTGTGTAAACGAAAAATGTCAAGAGTACACAAACTTGTCGACCAAGCCAAACAGCCTTTCCCCCCCTAAAGGCACATCTTACAGTCTCAATCGAACGGGGTCATTTCATTTGAGTAATTGCCACATCATCATGTTTAAAGAATTCAATAAACAAAACATCTCTCCTTCACCTGGGGTGAATATTACAACGATGAATTCAAAAGAGAAAAATGAGAGAATATAAAAGTGACAGTCAAAAGGTCAAAAATGTCATCGTGAAAATAAACAGACTTTAACAAGCTCTAGTTCAATTCCAGCTAAATACTAACATTTGCATGTTGTTACTCACATGTTGGAGGCCTGTTCAGAGCCTTTGCAACATCAACCATGTTGACAATGACCGTCTTGATTCCATTCCCTTTGCCTTCAACCTGGATTGAAAGGAAAAACCCACATGTTATATTCACACCCAAACATTTCTTCCTACAGGACTCAGGAAACTTTAGACCAATTCCAACCACTATTCTGATGCTGTTTTTCTCTCCCCAATGGACAAATCTAAAAAACAATAATGAGTGGTTACCTTGGCAATCAGACGGGGCATCTTGTAGCGATAGAACTGGTCTGACACGCTGCGGTTGACGTTGACAGACATTTTGGCTGGATGTTAGCACTATCAGTAAGATAAAAGGATCTTGGTTGGGGATTTTTCGGGATCTTCTGTCTGGAAAAGAGGGGATGACATAAACGACTGCAAGCGTGCTCGGTCTCTGACATGAAAAACGCTGTGCCGCTGTGGCTGCAAGCTCCTTGCTTGAAGTCTAGATTTCCACCACACAGGTTCCAACGGCTGCGCAACAGCTCTGAAAGACGAGAGGGACAAACATCAATATTTAATAAGGAAACCCCACAGTTCATGTGGGTGTTGCAATCCTACATTGGGTGCAAATACAGGGTTTTGCCCCCCACCCCAGATTTGTAGACATGCACTCATGTTACACTTCTAGTCTGTCTTTACAGAACTTGGTTAACCATCTAGTCTCTGGAGGAGTTTGTTTATAGTCTAGTTCTACAAAGTAACAACTTGATGACTGTTGCAATTGCATAAAGACAGCAGTGCAAATATTACATTTCAGATGACTTATCATGTAAAGTAAACATCTTTTCACCACTGTCAGTTTATATACACCATCCAATTGAGAAAAGGTACCATGATGACAACAATAAGATGCAGCCTAGTTCATTTTGTGAACCCAGTGGTTTGTAGCCTTGGTAGCATCTAATCCACAAGAAAACAGTTAAAGATTCCTGTGGTGCAGGCCTGCTCTTTAGTGACTGCCACTATTAAGAAAGACCAGACTCCATTACGACACAGATCCAAGCCAGAGGGAGAGGCAATCGAGGACCCAGTGGCTCCCAGAGACGACTTATTCAAATCATTTTCTCAATTTAACAGGAATTCCCACAAAAATGGGTCAAGACTGAAAATATCCCAGCAAATCCAAATCATAATCATGTGATCCAACGGTGAGCAAGCATGAGTGGGCCCAAAGAAAAATAAAAGCTCTGCCACAAATCTGGATGTTTCTCCCACCTTTTGTTGCCATATAATGCACAAAAAAAGAGCTTTGTGGACACCCTTTGTCTTACATGAGGGCCCCTGGCTTTAGTCATATAAGGCCTGCACTTTTTTACTAGGTCACAAACAGGGAGGCCTAGCAGCTGCCAAACAACTCCCCCCGCTGATGGTTTTAATATCAACAACAAAGTCTGCAGCAGTTATTGTCTCACACACGCAAGTGCGAGTCGCAATGAAATGCCTCCCAACTTGTTTGCGACTGACACAGTGGTGTCCGATTTTAAGATCTTTGAGAAGGGCAGAGGTCGAGCCTATTTCAGGAGGAGGCTAGCTAACTAGCTTAGCAGCTTGGTGCAGAGTGCGTCATACAGTCACTGCACACGAGTGACGGACTGGAAGACGCCATTTTGATACAGTGGCACAGAAATCGTGTCATATTGCTCAATAACGCTGACTAAAGCGTTAGCTTTGACAAACATAACACGACACCATATATCGCGCAAGAAAGTTGAAATAAATCGTAGATTGCGTCCAAAAACTTACCGTTTTCGCAAAACAAAGACATAAACACAACGCTGATCTTCCAAGAGCCGCAGTGAACGGTGGTCGATGCCTGGTGCTGGTTGATGTTATTGACTGCAACAGGGTTTCTTAATGATTTTGATGCTCTCAAAGAGGCACAGTTAAAGACCATAAATATCCAAAGTGCGGCTGCTCTTCCTCAAAGGCAGAAGGAGGTTATCTGGAACGTCCTCGGGCTTTGGGGACCTTTGGGGAGGGGGAAAAAAAGAGATAGTTTCGTTATTCACACAAACTGCGAAGTAAACTGTTTATGTCGAGCGAGACAGCCATCTGTGTTCACTGGGTGGGTATTTCAATAGTCACGTACAGCATAAGTGCCACGAGGATTAAACGCTCCATTACGCCCGTTAGCGATAGTGCCACACCGTGAAAAGATAACGTCGGCCAGCTAACTGGCTAAGGTTAAGGTTGCACGTGTTACGCAGTAAAATTCCCCATAAATTATCTTATAGATATAACAATGAAAGCAGGACAATTAGAGTTAATCCACTAATTTGTACCTTCAAATTGACCTTCATTGTTAGCATTATCCGATGCGAAAACAGTAGCTTGAGGGCCAGTAAATAGTCAGATCCCATGCGTTAAAATGAAACGAGTGGACGTCACACAGCTAACGCAGTTATTAGCCAAGTTCAATCAACGCGGTTGACGGAAGATAACGTGATTAAAATTGTCCTCGGTGGTAGCTAGCAGCTATTTCTTTGTAAAATTACAGTCATCGCTGTGAAATCGTCGTTAGGATGAGACCATGTAAATGTGATGAAATAATTTCGGACCTACCTCTCGAATGTTCTGCGAAATGCTGCTACACTCGTCGCTTTTACCAACGAACGTCAAGCTAACAGCTGCAATAAGTTTAGCAATATCCGGGTCTCAGCATTAATTTTAAATTAAAAGTCTGCTGAAGTCGCACTCCATGTGTATGCGAAACATGAACATAGAAAATTTAGGGGAAAACCCCATCCTTTAGGTTTTAAACAAACGAATTAGAATTAGAGGCATAAAATCGTTTTAGCCACCTGCTTTTGCTTTCAATGCCAGACTGCAACTGTTACCCCCTCAATACTTCTCTCAATTCCTCCATACCTTAGCTGTTTTATTTTGAAAGGAAAAGGAAACAATAAGCTTTTATTGACACATCCTCGTTCCCCATTGGCTGACGTCGTGACGCTGTACGTGCGTAGGCGCTTCCTCAACTTGACTGCCTGCAAGCCGAAACATTGAAGATGGTGAGTATGAAATGGCGAAAAGGCCACGGGTTCTCACGTTTTCATTCGGTGTATCGAGCGCTCGACTTTTTATGAAACTAGCTGTCGACGTAAAGGGACCGTGATCATGGCTTCAGTTTCAGGCTGTGTTGCATTAAAGCTCAGTTCCGAGATGGATCAACGGATCACATGACAGTTGAGCAATTTAGTCTCCAAAATTCACCGGAACAAACTGCAAACACCCATAAAGTCACACATTTCCATTGCACAGCGGGCTCCCAGTGTGTCTTGCTTGTTCGTGAATCATTTTGTTATGTGTTTGATGGATATAACGACTTCTTTTACTTTTCCCTTTTTGTCAATGAGTTAGCTTCCGGAGCTAATAGAGCTAACACTTCATCTTACGATTTTACGAAGCACTTTCCTGGTCTGCTTTAATGTTTATCATCCAGCTAGCAGCCCGCACTTGAGCAGTCATTTTTAAAATTTATTTATTTAATAACCCAGCTAAACAAGACTGTTGCTACTTTGGAACTACAACTCATAGGACTACATTCATTTTGTTATGTTTTATAATTTCCAGGTTCTGTAGTTCGACATATTTATAAACACAAATACTTCGACACTAGACGATTCATCAGAGCTTAATTGCAGCCATCTATTTGATTTGCTTCACCGCATTATTTTTCATTTGCTCACTGTCAGGCGACTACAATATGTTTTGCTTAATGATTATCACTAACCATCGACCATTAACAACTGTTTCAACCACATTGTTGTTTTAACCTTCTTTTTTTTTGGTTTGTTTGAATGATTAATATCTGTCTACTTAATCCATTCACTTTTTAATTTCTAATTTCAGTTTCCCCTTCTTGTCCCCACTCTTTCTTGTCTTTATTTTCATTTTTAAAATTTTGTTTTTGTATTTCTTTACCCCAATCTCTGATCACGCCTCATGTTGATCTCTCCACGCACATCATGCCTTCCTCTCTATCTCACCCCACCACCGCACTCTGCCTTTTTTGCCTGTCTCCAAACAACCAGGCTGGTCACCGGGTAAGTGTTCCCGCTCTGTCCTGGATCCCTGTTTTCTGATCGCTCCTCTGCCTGGCTCACTAACATGGGACTGGGATTGCACGGCCCCAGAGGTCTGCTGTTTCTGCATCTCTTGCACAAGTAGCTGCTGCTCCTATAGCAACTGCAGTGCACTGAACTGTTGCCTAAGCAATATTAATAAGACACTAATCAGTTACAAGAAATCCACTAAAAGTAACACAGCAGGAAGCTAAAGATGTTTCAAAGTCTAAACTACTAAATTATATTATCTTTTCTTTTTTTGGGGGGGGGGATTCATCAGTTTTTAGAGAGGGTAAACTGGTCTTTACTAGGACAGAAGATAACATGATTGCACAAATTCAGATCAAGTGTAATATTGTAATATAAAATTTTGAACATGGTCTAACATACTTTTGTGCATCAGTCCTGGTTTGTCTTAATGTTCACCAGTTGAATTCAGACTTTTCTTTTTTTTCTACCCAAGTCATCACATACGATCACAGCCATTGCTCAGAATTTCTGTGCTGGCTAGTAGCTAAAAATATTTGTAGGTTTAATGTTTAATATAAACTCCCGCTTTTAATGGTGTTTGTTTCTCATAGACTCTTGGTGCAGTGTAAAAACATAACTACCTCTTTTATCTGCCATTGAGCGTCTGAAATCCAGCTGCGCCAATTCAAACCATATTTTTCTGCCGTGGGCTGTCTTCCAGTTGTGTCGAAAGTTACTTTCACAATCATCATCATCATCGTTGTTTATTTGTATAGCACTTTAAGAACACACCTGGCAGACCAAAGTGCTGAACAACACAGATCAAAACAACTACCAAATTAAAAATACCTTAAAATCATTACATACAATAAAATAAATAAGAAGGTGTCAGTTTCCTACAGAGTTAAAAGCCAGGGAATAAAAATAGGTTTTCAATCTGGACAATGCCCAGTTTGGACTCAGACACTCAATTTAGTCAGATCTTTACTCACAACTGTTGCTTTTTTTTTCCCCAGATTTGAGCTTTTTGAGTGAAACCTGTTTATCCACTGTACTAAATTAATCTGTGCAATAATATTAAACGGTTCTGAAAAAAGTACAGGAGAATTTAACAATAACTGACAGAGAAGTGTAGCGGTTATGGTGGAATCTGTTTGCATTATTCTCTCCTGCAGAATTGACCAGTGGCGTCCCGCAGGGCTCTGTCCTCGGCCCACTTCCCCTTTCTGTATTCTTATGCTGCAGCATGCAGGCTGTAGCAGGGATGGGGCATAAATTTCTTTTCAAGGGACCACATGAGAAATTGGGATTGTTGTGCCACACCAATAAGCTGAACTCGGCTCTGCTCAATATGAATTTTATCTCTTTATAAGCTTATTGGTGCGCCCCTTCTCAGCTGTCCCATTTTCTAATCTGGCCCACTGGGAAAATGAAATGCTCAGCCGTGGCAGAGAGCTCATCGGTGGGTAACTAACCTGTCTGTGTGTGTCTGTGCGATGATATCAGTTGGTCCTGGTGTTAGGTGACCTGCACATCCCTCACCGATGCAACACGTTGCCAGCCAAGTTCAAAAAACTGTTAGTGCCGGGGAAGATCCAGCACATTCTCTGCACAGGGAACCTCTGCACCAAGGAGAGCTATGACTACCTGAAAACCCTCGCTGGGGACGTCCACATCGTCAGAGGAGACTTTGATGAGGTTTGCGTCTGTGTGTGTGAACAATAAAATAAACCACGTAGAAGATACTAATTACCGTAAAACAATTTTATTTCAAAGAATGTTCAAAAACAGGGTTCAAATGATGTCTACAAATTGTGTTTCTGCATATTAATAGCACTGAGGAAGAACATCATTTGCTGTTCCTAAAGACTGATTGCTCTGTAATTAAATTGTAATTGCTGTTCTCTCAAACTGAGATTTATCCATGTAGATCATGATTTTCAAAAATGATCCCATTGAGGACACGACATATTTTAAATATAGCTCATTCTGCCATTTGCTGTCTGTTTAAATGTGTGTATAATTAGTACTTTATTCCATAATTGGACTTGTGAGATAAAAGCAGTGTATAAACCTTACTTTACTCCATGTTTTTCTCATCTCTCATTTGTCCTCCTGATATTTTCTCAGAACCTGAACTACCCAGAGCAGAAGGTGGTCACAGTGGGCCAGTTTAAGATTGGACTCATCCACGGCCATCAAGTGATCCCCTGGGGCGACATGGCCAGCCTGGCACTCCTCCAGAGACAACTCGACGTTGACATCCTTATCTCTGGGCACACACACAAGTTTGAGGCATTTGAGAATGAAAATAAGTTTTACATAAACCCTGGTTCTGCAACTGGAGCCTACAGCGCCCTGGAAAGGTGGGAGCCAATATAAACCATGAATTGAGCTCTATTTAGGAGGCGAGTTAGCCATGTTTTCATGATTTTGACATTGGATGGTTGGTGGTTTGAACCCTGGCTGCTTCAGCGAAAGTATCAGTATCTAGGTGCAAGATACTGAACCCAGAGTTTCTCTTATTGAAGTGTGAATATTAGATAGAAAGCAGTTACATTTCTACTCGAGTGCTCAAGTAGAGTAGAAGAGCACCGTATAAGATACACTTATAGACATTAAATTCTCATAGCCCTGCATAGAACAAGTACACAACAATATACTACTCGACATGTACTGTGGAAAAAACACGGGTGATCTTATACTGCAGTAAAAAAGTGTTGAGAGTCACTGGGCAACCCGTCACTGTCCCTGCAACAACCAAGTAAAAAAAAGTAAAACATGCTCTGCACTTGTACAGTGTTTTACTGCTCTTAGCTGTGCACTCAGACACCCAAGCACGTTGTAACTTTCACGCACACACTCACACTCCAGTGGATTCATCAGGCTTCAGTATCTTTCCCGAAGACACTTTAGCATGTGAACCAGACTGGAGGCTCTACATTTTGAACCAAGCTAAGATGCCCTGTTTTCCTTGTCATTGCAAAAAGACATTTTGACAGTTAGTTTGGTTAGTGTGTTTGAGATTATTTTCACAGTGAAATATCATATTTTAGTTATGCATTTTCCTTAATATGCTACAATTTTTACAAACACCTAAAAATAATGAAAAATGCTCTTTCTGATGTGCAAAGTAGTAGAATATTTGGAACAATTTCTTATTTTGATAACTGATTCTAATTGGAGAACTGATCATCAGCAACTAAGAAAACTGATTGCTTCAAGCCAAATTATGCATCTTTTAACATGAACTAGTTTTCCCACATTATAACAAAAACAGATTTTTGCTCATGTCGCATAATAGATCTCCATGCAGATAGTTCTGGATTGATGTTTGAGGTCTTTAGATATTTGTCTTTGAATTTTCTCTCTCCACACAGACGTAATGGCAGCAACTGAAATTCTGTAAATCCCGCTCAAAGCATTTATGTTTAACACAGATCTTCTAGGAAAGAAACACTGTTGTGGATGTTTTTAATTCTGAGGTGTTTGCAGTTAAAGGTTTTTTTCATTAAACTGGGTGTAATTAAAGAAATGCATCTGTTTTCTCTCTCACAGCAACATCATCCCCTCTTTTGTATTAATGGACATCCAGGCATCTACAGTGGTCACGTACGTTTATCAGCTGATCGGCGATGACGTCAAGGTGGAGCGAATTGAGTACAAGAAATCTTAAAGGAGAGCACAAAGAGATGGAGAAAAATTTGCATTAACAAGGCTGATTATATTTCATTCCTGTCCACCAGGGGGCGCAGCTCCCTCAGAGTCACCACAGTGTTAATGCTATAACTTCTGTAAGTTAACTCTAAAAGACCTGTGTATTATATTGTTTATATGTCATCAGCATTTGCTTATACCTGAGCTGTCTTTTGGTAACTGTAGAGAATGCAATAATATTGGGTGCCATTTTCTTTTCTTTGGGTTTTTTTGTTGTTGTTTTAATAAACACCCTCCTCACATCCTGTACATGTAACAGGCCATTGCTTCCTGTAGTTAGCCTCCTTTTATTCATTTCTTTCCCACAATAAAGATGTAATTTCACTCCATCTGTTGCTGTGTGTTAAATTATATTCGCAGCAGTAATAGCCGTGCATAAATAGTGTTTTGATATTTCATTTGGGAAATTCAAATTTATTTATACTTTTACTCTTCTGTCTTGAAAAATTTGAGGATAACTCAACGTGCTTATTTGAAAAAGAAATCCCCCTAAGTATCAATGCACATAATACTGGAACTTTGTGATACCACACAGACAGAAAAAGCCTCCCTGTTCCTGATTTCAGGCTACTGAAATGTTTAAACCTCTGTCTGGCTTGGTGTACATCGCTCTTTTATACTCAAAGCTGTTTGCTTCTCTGAAAATTGCAAAGCATTGATTTTTTTGCCATGAGGGAATTATGATCATCTTTGCATATATTATAGTATTGTCTAAATAAAAATAGTTATGCCCCCATTAAATAACACACCTGGTACAAATCATGATTACAAAAAGGTGGAAATGATTATTAAAATGGCTTTGAACCACATATTAACATTATTGGCGGGGCCATGGCAAACATAAGCAGGATACATTAGGTTTCAGGTTACCTTAAATAATAGTTTAAAAAAGGCCCCTAACTCAAGTGATGAACCAGTGTTGTCTCTGCACATAACAGACAACTTGGCAAATCTATGAAAAATGCCCAAGAAAGCAGTCTGACAGACATGAAATAGTATTTTTGCACGAAAGAATGTGATTCCTAAAAAGCTATCAGCTAAAAACTTGGCATATCTCAGTGTGCAGTGTGGCCTTCACAAATTTGGGGAAACTGGACCAGTAGAGGACAAAAGAAGAAGTGGCAGGTCTAAAAAAAATCTATTTACAGCATGCATTTTTTGGATATGACTCATCTTTTAGAAATTTAAAAAAAAAAAAATCCAGCAAAGACCTGGCACAGGACTAGAGACTCTTCAGCTGATGAATAAGTGGACTGAAAATCAGTGGAACAGGTCTTAAGGTGTGGTGAGTCGAAATCTGAAATTTTTGGTTCTAATCAGCCACTTGTGAAAATTAACAGAAATGTGAAAGCAGAAAAGTATCATCAGACTTTAATCCACCATTTAAAACAATCTAGAAAGCATCTGATTGGCAGCACTTTCATTTTTCAGCAGGACAATAATCCTAAACGCTGCCAATTCAGTAAAAGCATACCCGGACAGAAAACCCCCATCAGTCATTGACTGGCCTTCCCCAAACCCCAGACCAGAACATTACTGAAGCAGTGTGAGATCATCTTGGCAGAGAACAGAAGAAACAACAGCCAACATCCAAAGATGAGAGCTGAATGTCCTTGAAGAAGCCCGGAGAACTATTCCTGAACACTAAAGAAATGACAGGAAAGCTGCCTTTTCTTGCAAAATATCAAGAAATGATGGGGTGGCTAAAGACTTTTGCACAGGACTGTAAAACAGATGAGTAGAAATTAATAGCAGTGACTATTAAAGTGAAAATACAAGTTCCTAAACGGATAAAACAAAAGAGACAGTCACACACAACTATAAACATATACATTTAAGAATTGCACATGCAGAACATAGATGTCAATGACGTTATTCTAAGTGAAAATAAAAAAATAATACAGTTACCAGACCTCAGCATATCATCAATGCCTCTCTCAGAGAGTTTTCATCCATACTAGTTCACGTGAAGAATTTGAAGATTTTAAACTTTCCTGAATTCCAGAGGTACTTATGCAACTAATGCATCCCAAAACATCTGTTTCATATCAACAATGGGAAACCTGTGTTAGCAGCAAAAAAAGGGGGGGGGGAGGCTTTACTTTTTCCGTTAACACTAAGAAAAAAAAAAATCCAAGTCGGCTTCATTTAGCCAATGAAATTAAAACACGTCATTATTTTGAAAGAAGAAAGCAAACTCTTCTTTAAAGCAGCCAAAGAAACAGTATCTGCTCGTGATGAGCCTGTGGCCAGCACCAAGCGCTAAGCACGCCAGCACAGGCATGCACTTCCCATTATTCCTCTCTTTAACGGTAGCGATCACGTGACTTCATGGAAATCAAGTCTTCCAAAGGATTTCCCCCAGTCACAGAGGGCGCTACATTAACTTGTTCTTTACATCTTACAGAAACTGATCTTGCAGATGCATAAAACATCGTTTAAAGCTTAAATAGGCTTTAAAAAATGAAAAAAGAAAAACAGTTACACATTCTGATAAGGAGGAATTCTAACTTAACACAAAACTAAGACACAGCTGTACATTTAGAAGCTCACATACAGAGTATTTATTTCTACAGATACAAATAATGCATGATCCAGATAACTGTAAACAATTTCTAGATGCAAGTGAAAATCTCAATTCAAAATTCCTGAAGCTTTCCTTTAAACACCAGTAGTGTCTGATCAGTATATACAGTATATATACTGGAAACTGAATTTTGTGGCGTTTAAATAGAAGAAAGCGTCACTATATTATTATAAAAGAATCACAAATCAGATAAGCTGTCACCGTCCCATCCTCCCACAGAGAGGGAGCTCAGACATTCACTCAGAGAATCATTTGGTCCTCCCTGCTCTTCTTCCTCATCCGACAGTCTGATCCTGGCTCCTGGCGAAAAATGAAATGTTTAACTCTACAGAAGAAAGTGAATATTTATAAGATAGTTGATAATATTCTTGGTAACTGGCATACTCTCACTGGCTGCCTTATTATGTTGATTCTCTGTGGCAAAGATTCAACAAAGTGCAGGAAACCTTGCTCAGAGGCTTTGGTTCATGTTGCTAAACATCCATGATGTAAATCTCCCATCTCACTACAAAAATTGCTCTACTTGACTGAGATCTGGTGACTGTGGAGGCCGTTTGAGTACAGTGAACTCATCTTCATGTTCAAGAAACCAGTTTGACATGATTTATAACATGATACCCTATCATGGAGATGTAGCGCTCATAAAGGGTCAGACATGCGCAACACCCAGGTAGGCTGTGGCATTTACACAATGCTCGGCTAGTACTAAAGACCAAAAGTGTGCCAAGAAAAACATGAAAAAATGATATCCTCACACTAGCATCTACCTATACTGTTGATCCAAGGCAGAATGGAGCCATGCTTTCATGTTGAATACTCCAAAATCTGTCAGTCTTCTATTGTCCAATTTTGGTGAGCCATCAGTTTCCCGTTCTTAGCTACAGGAGTGTCACCCAGTCTGCTGCTGTAGCCCATGTGCCTCAAAGTTTGATGTGTTGTATATTTAGAGATGCTCTTCTGCATATCTGGATTGAAACAAGCTGATTTGTGAGTCACTGTTGCCTTCCTATCAGCTTAAATCGGTCTGGCCATTCTCCTCTGACCTCTGGCATTAACACGGCATTTTCATTTTGCCTCTCACTGAAGACTTTCGTTTTCAAACGTTTTCTGTAAAGCCTAGAGATGCCTGTGTGGGAAAATCCCAGTAGATCAGCCATTTCTGAAATACCAGCCTATCTGTCACCAACAACTATGCCATGTTCAAAGTTACAAAAGTATCCTTCTTTCCTCATTCTGAGCCTCAGTGTGAACTTCAGCAGGTTATTTAACCATGTGCCTTAATGCAGTGACTTGGCACCGTTTGCGTGTTTATGTGTGCATATTGCCATGTATTTGTGTTTATGAGCAGTTGAACAGGTGTAATTAATGTTTGTGTTTGCGACCATGTGCACTTCTTAGCCTTTCTATGTGTTGATGCAGATGCATTAAAGGACCTGCAATTTCAAATATGTTACATTAAAAGTTTTATTGACTTCTCTTTCTTTTTAAAAAACATTTTCAATGTTCTCATTCTTCTTAAGTTCTCTGTATTGTAAGATCTTAACTTTACAATATGAAGCACTTTGATGCAACTGCTGTTGTGATTTTGCACCATATAAATAAAACTGAATTGAATTGAGAATTCTTTATCATTAAATAATGTTATTTATGTTTTTTAAATTAATAGTTTTTTCTTTTGTTGTTTTCCCTTTCTCAGTGTTTTTCTCTCTTTGCTTTCCTTAGTCGGTACTTTCTAACCCAAGGGGACTTTTCTTTTTTTCTCCACACTGTTGCCAGTTGTTTGCTCAGGATTCTCGAGTTCCTATCTGTATTGGGAACTTTACAGTATAAATTACCATGAAATGATGGTTCTTATAGTTTACATTTTAAAAAATATAAAGATGAGCTAAACATTGTGGCAAAAAGTTTTCATTTTAACTCTTTGCAAGTCTGAAAAGTAAACATGGAAATGAGCTGCTCGTTAAGTGCTTTCAAAATCTCCATACGTGACAACTATAATTATCTACATGTGCAGACTAGTTCAGATGCGTAAGGGTGTTAGAAGGACATATTAAAAAGGGAAATAAGGTGGGATAAAATAAAGCGATGATCCTTAGGATATTTAAAATATTGTAACTTCAGCTATCACTTGATAGCTCACGTCTCACCTGGCTTCTCTGTTCTTTGGGAGGGTTTTCTAGAATGTTTTGCACTGGTCTTGCTCTTGTTTTTTGACCCTGAAGAAACTTCCGATTGTGTTTTTGATAGATGATCCTCTCTGTCATTCTCAGGTGAGGCCACAGAAGCCTCAAAAAGTATGTCTCTTTTGTGGTTGTGGTCTATGACTTGGCACAAAGACAAAACAAACATACAAAACAAACCACAGTGTGAAAGCCGTTACTCAGCCGTTGCTCAATGACTCACTGTAAAGGGCTGTAACAGGATAAGTCAGATGCTTATCAGTGAAAGTGGTTTACAAACAGTTTAGAAAAACAGAGAGATAGCACACAACAACAAGTTACATCTGAATTGTATTTATTTTATTTTGTTTTGGTTCTTCTCACCTGCTCGTATACACCTGTACTGCACGTTCATGTAGTGCTGGGTGACGAGGCGCCGGACATGCTCAGTGCTATAGGAAGCTGCAATGCTGTACAGATACTTCCTCTGAGCTGGTGTTAGTGCTGCATGCTAAGAGGCAGGCAGAGATCACTTTTCACTGGGATCCACACCGAACATATGAATCCACACGTGCAAACACGTTTAGGTGTGGATGTTACAGAAGTTACAGAAGAAACAGAAATTTATGCTTTTGCCAGTGCTTCTAAAGTCCTCTGACTATGATGAGGGCACATTATTTGCTGATGATAGTGGACAAAAATGGTCTATAGCCCATACGATCAACAGTTTACCTTCAGAAATGAGGCTGTAGTCACACTTGTGGGGATTTGTATAGCTGTTAGGCGTTGATCAGCTGGTCTGCTGATTTTCAAACCGCTGTTGACGTTTCCAGCACTATTTTGAAATTCTGTTAGTAAATAGAAAACAGACATTTGGAAAAACTTGCATTTGAGGCTAATTGACATCTTTACTTAGAGGCAGGATGTGAGGAACTATGGAGGCTTCAGGTGAAACAGAGAGACTGAAAAAAATCAAGCAGGAAATAATGCATAGGTACTGACCCGCCCCTCTGTGACTGTGACAAAAGGCAACGTTACCACAAAGAGATGCAAAATAGCTACAAAGATACTCAAAGTGACTCCACATTGACCAATAGGAGATGCAAAATAATTGTGTCTGTAATTTTAAAAATGAAAATTTAAAACGGAAGACAAAAAGATTACAATTTTTATGCCATATTGACTTATTTAACTAATGTAACACTGGTTAACTAATGGATGTTGGGTTCTTCAGATGATTTCCTGTTGGATTTTGTGCCATGAAGGACTCTCAAATAAAAGATTTTAAAAGCTTAAAATCCACTCAAAGACTTCTGGAGTTCTTGCACATAAATTTGACCCATTTTGATGTTTTACAGCTGTAAAAATGACATAAATCTTCTTTTTTTAACCTGAAATTTGATGACTTTTCCTTAAGTGACCCAAAATACATTTACTATAAGATTATAAAGTGGTTTATAGTAAAGAGAAACCTCATTAATTCTTATTAATTAAGCATTCTTCATCCATATATTAATGTCAGGTATTTATACATTCTAAATAGATCTGTAGTTCAAAATTTTGATATGAACATTAATTAAGGGAAATTCTTGCAGTAGGTCAAATTGACCAGGGTCATATTAGGTCATCTGGAATATAGTCTATATAGTCTGCAAGAACCCAGAGATTTGCACATGGGCTCAGTTACACTGTCAAACCAAAAGGACTTCTAATTAAAAATCAGCACAAGTGAGCTTTCTTCCTGTTACCTATCAGGCCTGACCTCGGTCAGATTCAGGTGTGGGATTTCACCTGGTTTCCACTTGTCCTCAATAACAAAAACCTTCCTCTCAAGTTTCAGTGCAGACAAAATGTAAGATGTTTGGTTTATTTAACCATGGAAGTAGCACATGCATATCTGAAATCTAACCCAAGGAAAAAGACTGAAATAGACAGGATACAATGGATTCAATATGCAGAAGGGTTCAGTGGAGTGGCGTCACCGTGTGAGTTTCTTCATAATTCTGCTCATTCTTTTTTACTTTACTGCTCACTTGTTCATTTTTAATGATATGCAAAAATTTACACATACCCATTTTCACTGATGCATCAAAATAAACCTGCAACAGAAATGTATGAGTTATATTAACATAAAAATAAAATAAATGCAATAAAGATGGCATGTTCACTTTGGCATGGATTAAATTTCAAACATTACTTTACCTTGGCATAGCCTCATTATGATTGATCCCATGCAACACCTGGTTTTCTGCAGATTTCACTTGCTTTTTCAGTATGAAACGGCACACAAAGCCAAATAGTCCGTGCACAAGCAGCAGCAGCCAGTTTACCTTACCTTTAACACATATCGTCCACGCTGAGGCCAGTCTAGATAATTAAAGAAAAGAAGCGGTCTGATCTAAGGACTTTGAACAGTGGGCGTGTCCTTTCAAAGATGTTGCAATTATAAACTGAAAGAAAGATATGGTGTTTAAATGAATATCGGTAACGTTAACTTAAAGATGTCCTGTAATGCTCAACATGGACAAAGAGTACACTGAGATTATCCAGATCGTCTGCTTGCTGTTGTGCACGCCCATGTAGGGATAATCCCCGCCATGTTCATAACAGCTTTCTCTCCATAAAATATTTGTAATGGAAATTTCCTCAAGGTTTGCAGAATTAGACACGCCGACTGTAATTAGTTGAGGTAAACGGTTTGCAGCAAGCAGCATCAACAACTGCAGGAAAATTTAAAAATTTGAATGCAGGCAGTTTCATTGGCTCACAGAGGCAACTGTAAAATGTGATGGCGTAACAGAAAGACTGAGCACCATCAATTGGGTGCCTGAAAAATAAATAAAGGGAGCTAATATTTTACAAGATTATTTGCACATTATAGAGTAAGCTAAAGAAAATTCAGCCTCGTGTCCAATGTAGACACAGAGTAAACACATTAAATATCCTCCTGGACAAGGAGGGCTGCCGTAAAGAAAGTAAATAATGCATGGTATGTATAAAGTAAATAAAATACCTTTTAAAATACCTATATTCATGCAAGACTGATATGGTTAACTATAACTACTGCTTCTCTATAAATTGAATTCCTTTATTGATTCATAATTAAGCCCTTTCAAAGCAATTTTTAGCGAATATTAAAAATAACACTGATCATCTCGTTAACAGGCATCGTTCTTTTGGAAACCATTCCTGTGGATGTTCCTTTGACTCACAACAACTAGTTAAAACTGTTGTATCCCAAGCAGTCCCCTTGGAAGTTTTTTAAAAAGGCCTGCCACAGTACCACAGTGTTCCACTTGGGAGACGGTTTTCCTGGGGAAATTCCACTCCCAAGTCCACTCCTAGTCTCTCTCTCTCACACACCTCTCATCCAGTTGCTGGTTGCTGACTTTCAATTCATCATCAAAATGTTCAGACTTGCAAAAGTACACCGGGGAGTTGTACTTTGTTGCAAACAATGGCAGTGACAACGGTCATTTTTTAATAAAGCACATTTCATTACACTTAACATAAAAACCTCAAAACCTATGTAGGTCTACTATGCCTCAAGGCACTGGAATCAACAAAAGGCACACAGTGATTAAATATCAGCCTGTGAGAATAAAGAGGTTCTGAGTTTGTTTTTGAATGTAGACACGGCTCTGTTTGACCTCATGTCAGCAGACAGCTCGTTCCAAAGGACAGGAGCACAGTAACTGAAAGCACCAATGCACTAATTCCGGTTTAAAAGAGCTGCATTTGTATTAAAGATAGGTAAAGAGTAACAAAGAACACATCCTCAAGGATCCACTGTTCAAATTTTGATTTCTGCAGATCTAAAACTACTGAAACACAAACACGTCTCTCCTCATTGTGATAAAAATCAGTTAAGAACCTGATCTGTTAAACCAACTAAATCATGAAACCTGTGAATGTTGAGAAAATAAAGATCTGAGACAGGGCTACAGTTACCACTTAACAATTGATTTAAGTTTTTATTTTATTTTGAAATTGAACAGTGACATGTCTTTGTCGCATTTTCGTGTATCTCGTTGACATTACATGTACATTATCTTCTACCTGTATGTTACATGTACATATATGTATATTTCATCTAAGTGTACATTATGTGTATGTTATGTCTACATTACAGGTGCACTTACCTTGTTGACGTTACATGTAAATTCCGTGTACGTATGTATGTATGTATTTCGTGTACGTTGTTCGGCTTAAAAGTGAAGAAGTGTCCCGGGATGTCCCGGTGTGGGAAGAAGCTCTTGGTGCACCGTTTTCATGCTGATGTTAATGCCAGACGCACTAAGCAATTTATCTGTAGCTTTGTGTGGAATGCCATTTGCTGTGGTTCCCAAAAACTTCCACTTTTGCAATAATATCACCCACAGAAATTTCACAAACTCACTTGTTGTAATGGTGACACATTATAGAACGCACTCAAATTCACTGAGCTCTTTAGAAAAACTAGTCTTTCACAAATATTTGTAAAAGCAGACTGCAAGCCAGGTGATTTTATACAGTTTTAGCACCAAAAACACCTGAATTCAAAGAGGTGTGACCCAGTACTTTTGTACATATAGTGTACCTGTTGCCATATTTTGTCAGCTAATTTACAGATTAAAAATGTCTGTTATGTTCAACATAAATCAGTACTGCAGTTTTACTTTACTTTGCATGCCTACACATACACACATTTCTTTTTTTTTCTTTTCACTCTGACTCATTACATTGGCATTGATAGTTATTTATAGACAAAGTCCTAACGGCAGAGCCAAAGAATGTCTCCAACTCACTTTCCCGCTGTTGCTTTTTTAAGGTTGCTACATAATTGTAGGTTGCATATGTAATAAGTACACACAGTATGTATGTAAAGCACAGTTCAGCGTCTCAGCTGACATTTCTTGATTCTTAATGAACAGATTTCATGTAGTTTTCATGTGTGCAAGTTAAAGTGGGACTCGTTTTACACTGTAGTACAACGACTCATTCAGCAATGTGTAACCACAGTGTTCACACTTTAACCCCCCAAAGTGATATATTATTTAAATGTTAGGATGTTTTCACAAATTTCACAAAAGTGAGGACAACAGGCTTTCTTCGGCGAGTTGTAGGTATTATTGTTGTTATTATTATTACACATTGCATCATTGCTGTTAGGATGATGTCAAATGATGCAGAAACGAAAGCATTTTGTACAGTCGCAGTGATGCTACGGGAAAATCCCTTCGACTGCTTTATAAGCTCCACACCGCACAGCGCTGCCAGGAGTGCATTACTGAAACGTGACACTGCAGGTGTTCAAGCATCGTCTTTGCTAAAAGAGCGAGCAGTTAAAGTCGATATGAAGAAGATTTTCAGCAGAAAGAAGAAGATTCGGATGAGTGAAGGCAAGAAACCTTTAATAGAAAATAACAACAACATACAAGACGGTAAGAGCGCTTTACTATTATTACTGTGGGAATCTTTCATCTGTATAGTTTATATGTAGCAAGGAATAATAACTGGAATCATCCACGGACTGGCTATTTTATATTTGTTTGAAATAATTGCTATTTATTGATTGATTGTTACTGATAGGCCATTAACTCAGAAATAAAAACTAGTTTAACACACGAGCAGCACAAGCTGTTGCTGAAGCGGCAACAAAGTAACGTTGCAATATTTGCATATCAGCGCAGCTTAGCCTCAGGTATGCAGGGTATTCCCAAACAAACCACAACAAATATGTCCCAACATGCATTCCCAAGTTAATATCGATAAGTGTCGAGGCTTACTACTTATCTAATCAAGTGCACACTTAAATTTCATCATAAGTGCTGGTTTTACTTCCTCATATCAGAAAACAAAGCGAATTTTCTGTTTGGATATGATTAAGTGAAAAAACATGCACTGTAGCCAGAAACTAGCCACAAGCTACAAGTGGAATGTCAAGATTAAAGGAAGTAGACAATAAGACTCATAACCAATGGCATCAGGTGACTATCACCAATGTTAACACTCTCGAGGCAGGCGTTGCCGATTTGCGACAGTTAACAACTAACAACCTGATTACCCCACATAAATATTTTATGAGTTTTTTTTTTACTCAGAAGTACCACTGCAGGACTTGGTTGTGCATTAGCAACAAAAAACTTAATTTGAGCCTGAGAGGGTTAAAACTGACACCTATTAGTCCTTCTCAAAGGGACCAACTCAGTGGTAGACACTGTTGTCTTGATGGAAAAGAAAATCACCTGAGCTCAAATGGAAAGAGCATCAGGAGTAAGGATGATCTTGATAAATTGCTTAGTGTCTGGCACTTCATTCATTCACAATTACATCACCCAGGCTTTTAGAAGCTGGCAAACTCTGACAGGCTCATTGTCACATATCTTGGCCGAGTCACAGCAAGAATTTTACCTTACCTCGTCTGACACGGTGCCCCTTTTTATCAGAAAAAAATTATATAAAATATAACCCCTTCATTTGTCTTGGATCAAGTCAAAACATGAAACAAATGTAGAGTTCACATGTTTGTTTGTTCTTTCTGGCTCTTTCATAGGACATGACTGTGCAGGTCATGGGTATGAGAACCCTTTGGCCCAGAACTCCTTTAACTCTGCAGAGGAGCAATCCATGCAGAGACAACAAAGCAGCTCACTTATGGATCTCATTCAGTGTCTTGGGGTGTCCTCTGAAAGCCTTTACAACCTCATAGAGGCTAATTTGGGACAACAGAGTGTCATTGCTTGGTCCAACCCTCAGACATTCAATATCCTGCACAAAATGCTCCAGGAGATCAAATCTGTCAAGCAATGCCTGCAACTGATGGACTGGGTCCAACATAAATATCTGAGGTATTTATGTGCCGGCTTACTTTTTTTTGTTTAACTAGCCACATCAGCTCAGTGCTGTTGTGTGCATTTGTACCTTTAAATATAGATTTGGTGAAGATCAAACCAATGACGCACTTGGATGTTAAGCTGGTTGTTGGGTGTGTCTTCCAGCCCAAATGAGCATTTTGAATGGTCAGTAAGACCTAAGTAACTATATAACAACCAATCTAGTCACCATTCACATACATCTATGAAAACTAGCGTTCAAATTTATAGTTAAGCACAAAAGGTAAGACAAACTATGAAAAACTATGCTCATCACTTCTAGAGCTCTCGGATTAATTCAGTGTGTTATTTCTGTTTTATGTGTTCAAAATTTAAGCATAAATACAGAGATTTGCTATAAAATCCTTGCATATAGCAAACTGGTTCAGTCTGCTTTTATTCATTGTTATTCACAATATCTTCAACCTGTTATTTCAAAAACAGGGAATTAAAATGTTAAAGCAGGTTTCATCATATCAATAGGGAATTAGGATTGAAAGTATTTGTCTCTTGTCTGAATGTTAGCTGTTAACACATGCTGGTGCTCACTTCTGATGTGGGTATTTTCTGGTACTTTCCAAGCAGGGAGGTGCTTTTTAGTTCAGACCAAAAGCTGTTCTGTGAATGGAAAGACAAGGCAAAGGAGCAGCTGCTTCAAAGTGTGCAGGTAAGAATACCAATATAACTTATCATACATTTTATGAGCCAGACAATCTTTGGTGACACACACACACACACACACACACACACACACACACACACACACACACACACA